TATACTCCAAAATTTGCATTCCCCAAATTTGCTTATATTATTATAACTTATAATTCTCAACCAATTTAAAGATTTTATTTATTTATTTGACAGAGAGAGACACAGCGAGAGAGGGAACAGAAGCAGGGGGAGTGGGGGAGGGAGAAGCAGGCCTCCCGTCAAGCAGGGAGCCCGACGTGGGGCTCGATCCCAGGACCCTGGGATCATGACCTGAACCGAAGGCAGATGCTCAACAACTGAGCCACCCAGGCGCCCCTCAACCAATTTATAAAATACAATGATATGTAACTGAAAACGTGCAAGTCCTAGTTGACTTCTAATAACAGTTACTAAGCAGGCGATGATGGGCAGCAAACTCACCCAGTGAGGTATCCCTACACACACTTAACTCTCACGGGGTGCCAAGACCCTTGAGGACTTTGTGAAACACTAGAAACCAGTAAAGGTTGACGCTGGAACTGCGAAGGAGCTTTGAAATTTTCTTGAATTTTATTTTCTTCAGGAATGCTTGTTAAGGACTGCTAATGGTAGAGGAGGTAAACTAGGAATTAGATTTCTCTGCTTTTTTCTAAAAGGGTGGGTGGGGAACAGTCCCCCAGGACATCACTATCTCCATTCAGAAACTGTTTGCAGGAATTACGATTTATCTGTGGGTGGTTCCTGCTTTTGCCTTATCTGATCAATTTTAAATTGCTTGAAGATAAAGACCGTAGGTTTCTTTCCTAAGATAACTGGGGAGACAACAATAGTAATTGTCATTTAGAAACTTTGCCTTCCTAAACTATTTTTTTTTTTATTTTGTACATTTGATTTTGCACTTTCTGTCTACAAGAAGCTTGTGTTTATAATAGAATAATTTATTAGGGTGGACAGATTATAGCTGATATGTTCATGTAAGAATATAAGGTCTTGAGAAATAAGTAGAACAAACTTAGTAGCATGCTGGATTGCTCCTCCCTCCTCCCTCCAAACGTCCATCTCTTTTCTCTTTATGGCCAAGTTAACTTAAGATGGAGAGTGGGTTCTGAACACAAAAAAATGGGGAGGAGGGAGGAGAAGATAAGACGGAATAAAATAGTGAGCACCAATAATAGCTCCCATATATTGAGAACATGCTTCACTTAATCTTCTTGAGAACTGTGATTTTTCCCATTGTCCTGACAAGGAAAATGAAGAGACAAAATGGCTTGTTAGTGAGTGGAAAAGGAGGATTTAGTCTAGGTCCAGCTCACTGCCGTGTTCAGATGCCTAACTACTACCCTTAGGGTCTTTCAGGAAGGACAGAACCCAAGTGAGGAACAATTAGGGAAGAAAGAAAGCCAAAGAAGGTGGGAGAAAGGGAGGCAGCTTGAGTGGCCCCAAATCAACTTTCTAATTTAGGAGTGTCAACCTAGCACCCCACGTGGGTAGAAGGGGTCTCCCATGCTGAGGGTGTCTGAGGGGTTGACTGTGGGAGCTGACTTGCGATATATCCAAGCCCTGTTTTTAATCTCATCTGTTGCCCCTTTTCATTGTGAAGAAATTTCTGAGAACTGTCACATTTATTAAAACAAATATCACTATAGTGAAAAACATTTGAATTCCCCATTTTAAGGAACAGTATTTCTCATTCACATATTTTGCAAAATTCCTGAATACCATAAGCATTTCAGCAGTAGTTTGGAATTTATACACAGGAGGGATTTGGGGCCAGGTTAGTATTTCTTCAAGGTGAGGGTAGGTCAGAAGTGGATGGGGTTTCAAAGTAAAGCAGGAGAGAAGCTGACTGAGCCTCTTGGGCCCTTTGTGGGGTCACCATGGTCCAGGGCCCTTTTCCAAATTTGTCTATTCAGGGAAGTAATTTTGATAGTTTTCCCATGAATGTTCAACCATTTGCAGAGATATTCACAGTAACCAGTCATATGATTCACTAATTTTGACAAGCATTTGCTGAAAACCTTTTGTGCTGAATATTCTCCTTTGAATCTTCTAGAATTTTTGCCCCCTTCTCTACCTGCTCTGTCCCTGAGGGACTAACACTTACGGGCTACACCAACCCTCTGGCTTTTCTTGTGTTCAATTAGTAGACAGCACCAGCAGGAGATGGGAGGGTAGGAGAATGAAGGGAGGTTATTCATTCCTTAGGCCAGAGGCCTATAAACTACGACCCCTGGTCCGTATCTGCCCTGCAATGGTCTTTTTTTTTTTTTTTTTTTTTTAAGATTTTATTTATTTGACAGAGAGAGAGACACAGGAGAGAGGGAACACAAGCAGGAGGAGCAGGAGAGGGAGAAGCAGGCTTCCCACAGAGCAGGGAGTCTGATGCGGGGCTCGACCCCAGGACCCTGGGATCAAGGCCCGAGCCGAAGGCAGATGCTTAATGACCAAGCCACCCAGGCGCCCCTGCCCTGCAATGGTCTTATAAATAAAGTTTTATTGGCACACAGCCACACCTATCCATTTAAGTATTGTCTATGGCTGCTTTTACACTCCAAATGACAGAGTTGGGTGTTGTGATAGAGACCTTTCTGGCCCGTTACAGAAAGAAGTTTATTGACTTCTGCCTTACATAGCTCCCTCTGGGTGGAGTTTTTTGTTCCTTAGGCAGCTCCCTGCCTGCTAAAAGCCACCACTATCAAGTGGTACTCCCCATAGCTTTAGCTACACCACAGCTAGAGCTCTTTCTAAGTTCTGGTAACCATCTCTTACCTGGCCACATGAAGGCCTGCAGGTACTTCTCACTGTTGCTAGTCCCTGGGGGGTTGGGGGGGGAAGGCAGCATCTTTTTGTTGCCTTCCTCTATTGCTGCACACGCTTACTCCTTTCATGTCTCCTCACTTACTCAGTTGGATTGTGCCATCTGTTTCCTTCTGAGACTCTGACTGATCTATCACATGCATAGTATTGTGTTAGAAGCAATAGGGAAAACGTGAGTAAGGATATATATACACACACATATATACTTGCTTTTATTAAAGGTTTTATGAGCTGATAGTGAGGACAGGTGAGAGATGGAGATAAGCTAGGTACAAATGGCTATTGAATAAGAAAGCCTGGGGCCAGTACAGCAAGAGAGGCAGACACAGAAGGGAGAGGTCGGATCTGCTTGGTATTCAGGGACAGCTTCATTGATGAAGTGGCATTTGAGCTGAATGCTAAAGGATGGATTAGTTTTGGAGAGGTGGACATTTTTGTAAATGAGAATTACAGAAAAGTGGACAGCATGAGATACTGGGGGAGAAATAATAATTGTCAGTTTCTTTAGACACTTGGCAGAACACTTTGGACATCAGCTTATTTTGTTATCATAACGACCCCGTGAAGTAGTTCCTATTATTATTCTATCGACAGATAAGGGAACCTAGACTTTTTTGAAAATGAAATAACTTCCCCATGATTTACAGCTTGAGGGGGAAAAGTAAGGATTCTGATTCAGGCTCCTAATCCTTAGGGATATAGAAAAGCACAGATTGTGTTTCAGTGTCAGTTTAAGGCTGGTTCTGGGGCGCCTGGGTGGCTCAGTCGGTTAAGCGACTGCCTTCGGCTCAGGTCATGATCCTGGAGTCCCGGGATCGAGTCCCACATCGGGCTCCCTGCTTGGCGGGGAGTCTGCTTCTCCCTCTGACCCTTCCCCCTCTCATGTGCTCTCTCTCTCTCTCTCTCTCTCTCTCTCATTCTCAGCCTCTCAAAAAATAAATAAATAAATCTTTAAAAAAAAAAAAGGCTGGTTCTGCTATAGAAATAAAGCTGAGATGGCTGATTTGGGCCATATCTTGAAGCAACTCCTATGTTGTGTGAAGGACTTGGGGCAATGGTCTACAAATAGTGGATAGTCTCAGGGGCTTTTGCTCAGGCTAATGAGATGATCAGAGTTCTCTGCTTAAGGGAATATGACCTAGGTAGTGCATAAAAGGGGTTTGGGCGAGAGTGATAGGAGAGGGATTTTAAAGGACAGAGTCAACACCAGGGATCAGGTTGACAGATGGAGAAAGAACTGAAGCAGATTTGGTGTTTCAGGCCTGGCTCAGTGGTGATTAGGAAGCGGTGATACCAGGAATGGAGCTGGGAAACCCAGCACAAAGGGAAGACTTTAAAAGAGGAGTGATTAGGAGTATGATTTTGGGTATGTGAAGCTAGAGATACAGAGGACAGTCTCAGCTTCCAGAAAAGATTTTAACTTTCTCTGCGCTTGGAGTACAAGTGGAGTTTATAAGAATGTTCTAGGCTCTGGATTATTGACACAAGAGTTTTATGGTTAAACACAGCTGTGGTAGGTATGAGAAAAGTCTGTGTTGGAGAAAGTTATAAGAATAGGAAGGACAGTTACTTTTTGGCCATTGATTCCCTAAAGGACCACAGATGGGCGTCTGGCATTTCTTCAGCCTCTAGTGCTGAGGCTAGTCTTCATGAAGTGCATTTCTCCCTGTCCCTCTAGGGCCACTTAAGACTTTTTAAGAATATAGACTTTGCCATATACACATAAATTCTTAATATTTATTGGATGTGGATACACTACGTTTAATTTCCTAGTCTCAGTTTGTTGGACTCTAAAACTGTTCTAAGAACCGTCATCTGGCTTCACAGGCTTATTATGAAGCTGTGAAACTCTTCGAAAAGTGTGTATGGCTAAACAAACATAATAGACATGCGTTCGCAACTTTTTTCCAGGAGATACACACATCTCTCTAGGTATAATGCCTGTACTATTTTCGTCCTCTGCGTCTCCGCCTGTCCTCTGCTACGGACAGTTACAAACTTGGTCAATAACTGTCCTAGGAGGACGTGATGCCCCCAGCTAAGGACGCACGCAGGTCAGAGATCAAGAAGGCAGAGATTTTCGGGGAGGAGCAGGGGCAGGGCATGACTTAGCACCTGGCAGCGCCGCCGATTGGCGGAGGAGAAGGTTGTTCCCTCAGGGCGGCCGCTGATTGGCTGCGGGAGGAAGAGGCATGACGTCCTCAGAAGTTGAGCAAACACCTCCTCCTCCCGGCCCCCATCCCAATTTCTGCTGGGAATTCGGAGCCTTCCCTTTCCGGACCCAGGAGCTCGAACGCGGCAGGACCGGTCGGAACCTTAGAGAGGACCAGGTGAGGAGGGCCGCCCGGAGGGGGGCTGAGCCGACGGGCGGTGGGCTCAGCCGGCGAGATGCGCTTGGAGATCGCCGGCGAGGCTGGGACTGTCCTGCGAGAGCGGCGGGCGAGCTCTGCCTCCTACGCCTTGCGTCGCGGGCCACCCGGCGACTCCGCGGAACCCAGCGGTTGCCCGGACGGGCGAGGGAGAGAGTGGGGAGCTTTTGGGCCTCCCTTGCGAGCGTTTCCCTTGGAGCGAGGGAGGGCTGTCGGCGCAGTTCTGGAATTTCTGAATAGAAAAGGGAAGGGATGGCAATTAAAGTTTTTTTTCTTTTTTCTTTGCTCTGTCTCTCTCTCTCTCTCTCTCTTTTTTGGCGGGGAAGCGGGAGCGGTTGCTGGGGAGTAAAGGATAGGGGTGGAAGCTGCAGAACGAACACCCTGTTAATTTTCGGACTGCACGCTTATTTAGGTCGGCTGGCTGCGCGGTGTGGTTGATGGAGATTTTGGGGGGCAGTCCTCTTCCTTAATCCCAGCTTTCTCTTTGCGCGGTTGCCGGACGACCTTTCCAGCTCTGGCCTGCTTAGCCAAACTCTGATCACAAACTCCCAGCCCTGACCATCTCGGGCTGGCCATTCTCTTTGAGATTGGGACTCCCCCCCCCCCCCCCCCCCCCAGCAAACTGCTGCTCCTTGGCTACACTGTAACAGACCAAGAAGGTGTAAGAAATTTGGGCACCCTGAATATCAGCGACTCCTGAACTCCTGAGACCCTGCAGGGGCTGCGAGGCCAGTGTGAGCACTTAACGCAGAAAGGGGCCCAAGCAGACGCAGTTCGTTGTTACTCTGCCCGATTGAGTTGGGCTAAGTGCCCTGACAACTTACAGAAGTGATGTCCTTTTCAGACAGTGATTTCAGGGGAGTGGGAGCGGGGAGGGGAGAGGAAGGAAGGAAGGAAGGGAGAGAGAGCGTTCAGTAACCTGAACAAAGGTGAACATTTTTTGATATTGTGGGTCATCAGTTATCAAAATGTGGGGAAGGTGAAGCTGTAATGATGCGGATGTAGCTACTCATGGGACTGAAGGATCATTTACTCAGGCCGTAGCTTTCACATACTTTATGGTAAAAACAAAAGTCAGCAGTAGCACTTTGCATGGATGCCTATATGTCTGCGTGTATATTTTGTCACTTGCACTCCCCCCCCACCCCCTTTCCCATGTAGATGAGTGAATCTAGGGGTATATGACCTTCTGGCAGTGTAGACTTGTGCCATTCTGCAAAGTGAGTTAGGAGGACAGAGATTTAGGCCAACAACTTTCCCTAGTGACTTTCCCACTCTCCAGAAAATCATAATTGTTTTCAGTCTCACTTGCTACTGGTGACAGCATTATCAGAACTTTATTTTGATTTATTTGCAATGGAACCCTCCTACCCGCCCCCTCTCCTCTTCCCAAGCTTTTAAGCCTTAACAGACCTTAACAGCTCAGGATTTTGGAAGTGATCTTTGGTGTGTATGCAGTGCCCCTTTAACAGAAAAGTTGTCATTTTTCCAAATATTCTTTTATTAATTATCTCATAGAAATAACATTGCAAACTGTGGAAAGTGTTCTTGGTGAGAACACAAATTGTATGGAATTAAGTAACGATACATTTGGCATGGGGAATAACAACATTATTACTGTTTTCATTGAATCTAAGAGGCCATCGGTTGTAAAATACATCCCTATTTCAGGGATGCTAAAATGTGAAAAATGTGTCGTAAATTTAATGAAATACAGTATTAAAATGGTAGGTTATTTATCTTGAACACCCAGGCCAGAAGGGTGAAGTTGAGGGAAGGGCTTACTGGGCTCCATTTTGTTTTCCTTGACAAATGAAAAGAGGAAGGGCGTGGTCAATGTGGAGCCATTGTGAAGGCCTTACTACTGTGTAACAAAGAGAAAAGGAAGGTAGTGTTTTCTATTAGTGGCGTGGCTGTGCTCACCTTTGAGGAGTAGGCAGGCTTGGGGCCTTCTTCGGTTCTTGACATTTATTGAGCATTAATGGCATGCAAGATAGTACTCAGTACTTTATGCATATTAGCTCAGGTAAACTTCCCAGTAGCCCCGAGAGGTAGATACTAATATGAATCCATTTTGCAGATGAGGCACAAACAGGTGAAGTTATGTACCAAGGTCACAGAGTAAGCATTTATAGTTTAGCAAAAAGACAGATGAGCAGATAAACATTTTGGATTAGACTCCAATTTAAAATTAACTTTGCATTCCATCTCAATGATACTAAATTTGTGGGCTAAAGACCAGAAGAGTCACGGGTCTTAGATCTCTGGATGACTTTGAGTAGCTGCTTGAAAACATGTATATTCTTCGACAATATTAGTAGATTCCCCCTGCCCCAAGTCTGCTGTTTTTGTTTGTTTTTTAACCTATGGTTAACAGTTTTATAAGGAGTTTAATGTGGAAGCATTAAAAGAATGTACATATGCAACAGGAGGTGAAAGTCTGGAGGATGGTGTTGCTGCTTGCCCAAGCCTTGTTCTAGCCAGCCTTGGGGTTGGGAGGCATTTGGATTAGTTCTAGGCTATCACGAGGTGTTCTATTAATTTGGAACCCTTTTGGGCATCTCCAGGATTATTATGGTCTGGAAACCAAGTATGTAGTATGGGCCAAGACTCATTGCCATGGAGCTGTGGTCCTCTGCTCTTGAAGGTAACTTTTCCTTAGATATAATCTTTTATAAATACATCTCACAAAATCTTCTCTGGTTCCTTTATGTGATTTAGGGTGGTGATATACTCAGTGATCATAGTTCATTTCATAGTAACTGAAAGAAAATGGTGGGGAATGTATGGAATTCTAGGCTTGCTCTATCATCTGTATCTCTAATGACCATTTTCCTTTTCACTTCTTTGAAAAGGTTAGAAAATACCAAGGACATTTAAGGGTGTCCTCCCTCTGCCCCATTCTCATGTATACATTGCAAAGATAGGTAATTTGTAAATTAAAGGAAGTTCTTAAGTTTTTTCCGCGTTGAAAGATGGTAAGAGAGGTATGGTGGTTATCATAGAGTATGTTCTATTGCTAAGTCCATCCACTCATTGTCCTCCTATCTCAGTACATGTCTGTGGAATTCACTATAATACTTCTGTGACTTTTTAGAGTTATTTCAAGTTCCTGATTAAAAATGTATACTTTAGTGCTGTTCTTGGTTTACAAAAACATAGAGAAGAATCTTCTAAATTTCATTTTTATGATACTAGGAACGTTGGCGTTTTATGTGTTGAAGGAAAAAGACTGTTTAGAAATTGTCAGGGGAAACGTCTTATTTCCCTCTGCTGACTATGTGACACTTCTATTCCTACCCTTTCTCTTCTGTTCCTCCTCCTTATTTTCTCTAATTCTTTCTTTGTCTCTTCATCGCCTTTTCTTGCTTTCCCACCTCCTCCTTGCTCATCCTACAGGCTGTCATTAGCACTGTCAAGTGGTCTCGCTAGAGCGAGTAGGTAAGCCAGGGGTCTTCCTGCTTTGTTTCACTGAAAGCATTGTCAGAAATATACCTCATGTTTACTTCCTGATATTCTTGGAAGAGCCCACAAAATTCAGGACAGCGAAATCCAAAACAGCCCACCTAGGCATTTCCATGAAATACCAGACACCTGCCGTGCCCTATCTAAGAGCAATTAAGAAATCCTCACTACTGCCGATTTCTTGATGACCTTAGAAGGAAATGAATTGTGGGCCTGGAAAGATCCATGTTGAGGCCAAATTTCTAAGTTCAAGCAATTACTAGCACAGTAGTACCTGCTACAGTTAAATCTCTTGTTCTAAGCACCCAGAAACCTAGAATTTACCTTGGCCATGACTCAGGAAGGATTTTCAGTGGCACATAGGATCGACGGAAGCACTCCATGCTGGGGAGATAACTGATCACTTACGCTATTAAAGTCGATGCCATATGAATCTAATTTATTTCTAAAATGAGCTGGCAGCAGTAACAATACATCAGATCTACATGGTGTGGATCTGTAGGCTTTGGCGAAGAGAAGAATCCTGAGTGTTAAATATTAACCTAGGAATCCTGCTTCGGCTTAGAAGCAACAACTCTAGGCAGATTCCAGTTCAGTTTTTTCACCTGTAAAATAAAGATAATAATAGTATCTACTTATTAAGATTTTTGCAAGGAGGAAATGAAATAATGTCTGGAAAGTGTTCAGCATAGTGTTTGGCATATAAGGTTAAATCAATGGTAATTATTGTTACATTTATTTAAAAACAAAGTTAGAATTATGATTTGAGAATTCCCTACAAAAAGTGAAAGTGAAAGCAGCTTCCCAGAGAAACTTCAGAGGATCACTTCCTGCTACGCTTCTTTTCTAGTCTACAGAAAGTCTGCCTTTGCAAATACATATGTGTGTATTATATGTGTGTATGTGTCTGTGTCTCCTCCCACACCATATCCCCAACCCCCAGACAAGGGAGGTAAGGAGGAAGTGGAGGGATGGTCACTGAGTGAGGTGAGGCTGTGATTATAAATCAAGTTTGAGCTGAGGAGAGACACTAAATTATCTGAACGTCTTCCCTCATATTGGCTCCAAGAATTGCTACTAAGAATAGGGGATGCAGGGTCACTTGGTCACCTATGGTATGTGAAATAGAGCCCCGTGGGGAAGATGGGACCCTTTCTAGGCTCATCTGTGTGTTCAGAAAAACTCACTTGTCTTGGAATTGGTTTTATTTAAGAATCTTAGGGATTTAAGTCCTAGGGGATTGTTGCAGTTTTTCCTTTGGTTTGGGGGAGAATAAGTGCTATGGACTTGGGCTTGAGTTTGGGCCTAATATAATCTCTTTTAAAAACAAAACTGTATAGGGGCGCGTGGGTGGTTCGCATCCGACTCTTGATTTCTGCTCAGGTCATGATCTCAGGGTAGTGAGATAAAGCGCTGTGCTGAGCTCTGTGCTGAGTATGGAGCCTGCTTGGCATTCTCTTTCTCCCTCTGCTCCTCTCCACTGCTCACCCATGCTCTTTCTCTTTCTCTCTCTCTCAAAAAAAGAATTGTAAAAACAAAACTGTATAAATAAACCAAAAATTAGTTAGAATATATAGCAATCTTTTAGTAAAATATTGCTCATCAGTATTTTGGCCAAGTGACAGTTAGCCGGAGCTGCTTTCATCCGCGTGTTTGCTTGCTGTGTGTATTATTTTTCTTACGTCCCTCTTTCTAAAGGCTTCTTAGCTGATGTCCTCGCTGGTAGCTTTGTTCTTTTAGTCTGCTGTGTTGTGAGTTGACCTATACATTTTCTATTTCAAGTGTTAAGTAGTTGCTCCCTGGAAATGTACTTGTATGTGCCACTGTTGAGACAAAACTTACCCATCTGTAAAGTGGATTTGATATAGAAGATTGCGGTCTGATGTAACAGAAATGTGTTCATAAGAATTTTGATGTATGTTAGCAGTGATTGGTAGGAAATTTCTAGAAAGTGTGAAATTCAGTCCCTATGTTTTGATGCCAACCTTAAACATAAAAACTAAGGCTTAGCATTGAAATGATCCATAAATTATCATCTGAAATTGCCAAGTGTATGTAACTATTTGAAGAGGGACAGAGTATTGTTTGATATTTATGCTTTAAAAATCTATATAAAATTTACTCTATGCTGGCACATAGTAAGCCTCTTGTAAACATTTCTTGATTGAATAAATGAGTGGAATTATGCAATCTGGAATAGCAGCTAGAAAACTGGTTGAGACAGGTCTGGGTTTAATATCATAGCAGGAGGAAGTGGTATGGAGAGGAAACCCTGAAAAGGGAAACAGCATGAGTTTGAGTTTGGGCCTAATATAATCTCTTTTAAAAACAAACAGTTCAGGGAGGATTAGGACCGTGCTTCTTAACCTTTTTTGACTACCTGTCATGGAGAAGCATGTTTGTTTTGTTTTCTTAAATTTCCCACCTGCCAGGACCAATACTTTCATAAAATTCAGTCACAATGAATTACAGAAAAATGGTCGTGTGATATAAAGGTTTCCAAGTGCTTACTTTGTATTTCTGTGCATAGCTCATCCAGGACCAGTAAAAAGCAGGTCACGAACTACCAACAGGCTGCCAACATACTTTGAGTAGCTCTCTAGTTTAGGGAATGATCAGAGATGAAACTCCAAAGAGGTTGGAGCTGGATTGTCAAGAATCTTGAACACGATTAAAGGATTCCAACCTTTATGCCATCGAAATTGGCATAAATTATCTTCCTGTATTTGCATTGTAGTTAACATGCTTAAAACTTTTGTGCCAAATACGTTTGATGAAACATATATTTAAAAAACACTTTCGGCTTGGCAGATACTGGCTAGTGTCCTATAATTTGCTCAGTACTTTTTTTATTATTATTATTTTGGAAATAAATAACGTCACTAGTGGAAATTTGGGTTTGTTGGGTAAAGGAGCACTTGATGGCACTCAAGCTTTCCCTCCTCTTTTCTCCATCTTGCATCTGTTACATCTGAGTTGGTTGGATTTTACAGCCGATTTCTCAGGAGACCAGAACTGATCTGTGAGCCCTCCTGCTTTTTGTTGTCCTGTTCTCTTATGATGTCTTTACAGTCACCAGGTTTTAAGATGCTGCGAGTACAAAGGACCAAACTGGGCAGGCTGGGGCTCAGCTTCTCCAAAGGGCTTCACCACAAAGCGGTGGTGGCCCTGAGGCGGGAGGATGTGAATGCCTGGGAGAGAAGAGCACCTCTGGCTCCCCGGCACATCAAAGGCATCGCCAACCTGGGATACAAAGTCCTCATACAGCCTTCCAATCGGCGGGCCATTCATGACAAGGTAAATGGTTCTAATTTTTTAAATATGTGGGAATAAAATGAAAATCAGGGAGCATCTGAGTAAAAATGTGTATGAAATCAAGGAGCATCTGAGTAAAAATGAAATGATTGCCAGTGTCATTTAAACACCACATGACAATATTCCTTTCTCTTGATTATAATGAGATGTCTAGTTAGAATGTGTACTTGAGTCCAGAATTTAGTCAATTAGGTATTATTTTCACCCCATTCCATGCTTTCTGCAGCTGAGGGATGGAGGGATTGCCTTTAGAACGAGGTAATGTCCTTTGGTCATTGTCTCCATGTGCAACCCTGGTTCTGGGACTGGGGAGACTAAGGCCACTAAGACATTACTGTATTTCCTTGGAATAAATCCTTCTGCGTAACCATCATACCTGAAAAATGAGTATTCCATAATACCGTCTCACATAGCCCGTTTCAAATTCCCCATTCTCTCAAACATCTTTATGGTCTTTTATTTTAACTGAGACTTACTTAAGGTTCGTTGCATTTATTGTTATGTCTCTAGTTCTTTTAACCTAGAACAGCACACCCTTTTGATTTGTTTGTTCCGAGAACGTTGACTCCTTTGGAAGAGTCCAGACTAGTTGACTTGTAGAATGGTCTGCTTCTGGGTGTTATTAGTCTTGAGTTTTATCCTGGTGATTAGATTCAGGTTAAGACACTTTTGATATAAATATTATCCCATGGTGTATTTTCTTCCCACTCTATCACATCAGAGACACAAAATAACCAGGTTGTCCCAAGGTTAGGAATTCGCGGTCACTTGGCTGAGGTAGTTGCCACCAGATCTCTCCATTGTCTAAGTATCTTTTTCCCTTTATAATTACTGAGTCATCTGTGGGGTGATGTTTTGAGACCTGTGAATCTTCTGTTTGTTTCTCAACTACCTTTTGTTAAAGATATTAGCATATGTTGATAATCTTTGCCTGAATCATTTTTTATACATGGGAAGCTTGCAAAGTGATGATTTTTCTGATTTTATCGCTCTTCTAAGTTTACTTGCTGATTTTCTTCTATAGAAAAGAGATTTCCCTTAGTTTCTCTTTGCTCTCTTGCTCTTTTGAGTATCGTTATGGATGCATGGGCCTTTTTCATTTAATGTATGATAATCTATTAACCTTTTTTTTTTTTTAAATGTCTCAGTTATTCCAGATTTGAGATGGAGGGTTCCTTTAAGGGTGCTCCTATGTCCTTTGGAGTACTTCTGTCTTTCAGCGTTCTTGTTTCCTAAAGCAACAAATGGTCTTAGTCTTACTTGTGCTTTTCTTGCCCCACACCTGGAATTAGCCATCTATCTCATCAGGGAGCCCTGATTTCTTTTAGTATATAGAAACCAAGATCTGATCTCTGGTGTTAGGTGTGCTTATTTTTACTGGGATATTGTTGCTTTTAGCACTTTTAGTGAACAGAGAGATTACACATACATAATATATACATATATATTATTTAATATTATTTAATCATGAATCAATACTGATATTTCCAATTAAAATTTTTGACATTACAGGTTTTTCTTACCTTTAAAATTTTATATTTGCATCTGTTTTCTACAGCAGTGAAAATTTTAATTCTTTATAGTATTAATGCATGTTTTTTGCTTTATCCTATATTATACATAAAATAGCTTTGGAATCATGATACTATTATTATAACTAACAATAAACCTATAAATGCTAAGTGAGTAGATCTTACAAGTTCTTACATAACTATGCATGGTGACAGATGTTAACTAGACTTATTGTGTTGATCATTTTGCAGTCCATACAAATGTCAATTATTATGTTGTATACGTGAAACTATATAATGTATGTCAATTATACCTCAATAAAAAAATAAACCTATTAAATGGAGTTTAATATTTTTTGAGTAAAAAAAGCCTTTTTGGTTTTAGAATATATCTCAAAGAACATTCAGATTGCTGTATTCAAGTTATTTGAGTTATTCTTTCTGTGTAGTTACGTCGTCAATGTGATATACGGTTGGATTTATGTTTTTTCTATACATTTTAAAGGTTGCTTTTAAATCCTTTTTGATTTAATTATATTTTTAAAATAAGTGAAACATTTACAAGTTTCAAAGATTAAAACTATGTAAAATGATACAGCGCAGAGAAGTCTTCCTCTTACCTAAGCCCTTACATCCTATTCCCACCCACTCCATAGGTTACTATCGTCATTAGTTTCTTTTTTTTAATTTAATTTTATTATGTGATGTTAGTCACCATACATTACATCATTAGTTCTTGATGTAGTGATCCATGATCCGTTGTTTTCGTATAACACCCAGTGCTCTGTGCAGTACGTGCCCTCTTTAATACCCATCACCAGGCTAACCCATCCCCCCACCCCCCTCCCCTCTAGAACCCTCGGTTTGTTTCTCAGAGTCCATAGTCTCTCATGGTCCGTCTCCCCCTCCGATTTCCTCCCCCTCATTTTCCCTTCCTTCTCCTAATGTCCTCCATGCTATTCCTTACGTTCCACAGATAAGTGAAACCATATGATAATTGACTTTCTCTGCTTGACTTAGTTCACTCAGCATAATCTCCTCCAGTCCCATCCACGTTGATGTAAAAGGTGGATATTCATCCTTTCTGATGGCTGAGTAATATTCCATTGTATATATGGACCACATCTTCTTTATCCATTCATCTGTTGAAGGGCCTCTCGGCTCTTTCCACAGTGTGGCTATTGCGGACATTGCCGCTATGAACATTGGGGTGCATATGGCCCTTCTTTTCATTACATCTGTGTCTTTGGGGTAAATACCCGGTAGTGCAATTGCTGGGTCATAGGGTAGCTCTATTTTTAATTTTCTGAGGCACCTCCACACTGTTTTCCAAAGTGGCCATACCAACTTGCATTCCCACCAACAGTGTAAGAGGGTTCCCCTTTCTCCACAGCCTCTCCGACATTTGTTGTTTCTTGCCTTGTCAATTTTTGCCATTCTAACTGGCATAAGGTGGTATCTATGTGTGGTTTTGATTTGAATTTACCTGATGGTTAATGATGATGAACATTTTTTCATGTGTCTGTTAGCCAATTGTATGTCTTTGGAGAAGTGTCTGTTCATGTCTTCTGCCCATTTTTTGACTTGATTATTTGTTTTTTGGGTGTTGAGTTTGAGAAGTTCTTTATAGATCTTGGATACCAGCCCTTTTTCTGTAGTGTCATTTGCAAATAACTTCTCCCATTCTGTTGGTTGCCTCTTTGTTTTGTTGACTGTTTCCTTTGCTGTGCAGAAGCTTTTTATCTTAATGAAGTCCCAAAAGTGTCTTTGCTACCCAGAGCGATCTATACCTTCAATGCCATCTCGATCAGAATTCCAATGACATTTTTCAAAGTGCTGGAACAAACAGTCCTAAAATTTGTATGGAATGAGAAAAGACCCTGAATCGCCAAGGAAATGTTGAAAAAGAAAAACAAAGCTGGGGGCGTCACGTTGCCCGATTTCAAGCTATATTACAAAGCAGTGATCATCAAAACAGTGTGGTACTGGCACAAAAACAGACACACAGACCAATGGAACAGAGTAGAGAGCCCAGATATGGACCCTCAACTCTATGGTCAAATAATCTTTGACAAAGCAGGAAAAAATATGCAATGGAAGAAAGTCTCTTCAATAAATGGTGCGGGGAAAATTGGACAGCCACATGCAGAAGAATGAAACTCGACCATTCTCTAACACCATACACAAAGATAAGCTCAAAATGGATGGAAGACCTCAATGTGAGACAGGAATCCATCAAAATCCTAGAGGAGAACATAGGCAGTAGCCTCTTTGACATCGGCCACAGCAACTTCTTTCCAAGATACATCTCGTCATTAGTTTCTGATTGATTATTCCTATGTTTCTTTATGTAAAAATGAGCGTGTGTGTGTGTGTGTGTGTGTATTCTTAGTTCCCCCTTAGTCTTACATAAAAGGTTGTAAACTATACATACTCTATTGTACCTTGTTTGTTTAGTCAACAACATACCCTGGAACTCACTCCTTGTCTGTTCATGGAGATCTGCTTCATTCTATTTAATGGCTGTGTTTTAATCACTCTGTCATAATTACTCCATCATTTGTGATTTATTTAATTGGTCTACTATAAATGGACAAATAGATTGTTTTCATAGAAACCAGGTATGAATCACATTTTCATCCTTGTAGTGTCTATCCATCTATAGTTTCCTTTAAAGTAGATTCCTAACTGGATTCATCTTATTTTATTCAACTGCTACTTTTGATGCTCCTTTAATTCTGCCTGGATCATGCTAACCTTTTACTTAGAAATCTGAAATGACTTTTATTGCCTCCATGTACTAGCTATTCAATCTCAGTTAAATGTGTAAACCTCAGTTTCCCGTTGATAAAATGGCCATAATAATAATACCTACCTCATGGGAGTTTTAAGAAAATTAAATGAGATAATTCCTGAAAAGAGCTCAGTAAAGCAAGTACTAATTTATTAATAAATGTTGATGATTTTTATTTTTTATCCAATAAAGATCATATTCACCATGATAATATTTAGTCTCCTTTTCCAAATTGATTTATCCGTTATGCCCTAAACATCTCCTTACTTTCCTGCCTCCATATTTGTATGTATTTCTGCAGTACTTTCTACTGATATTACCACCTTGCGTTTCCCATCTCCATCTCTCCAAATCCTACCTAGCACTCTGAGAAGCGAACTGAGGGTTTTAGAGGGGGGTGGCATGGGGGGAGTGGGTTAGCCTGGTGATGGGTATTAAGGAGGGCACGTATTGAATGGAGCACAGGGTGTTAAACGCAAACAATGAATCATGGAACACTACATCAAAAATTAATAATGTAATGAATGGTGACTAACATAACATAATAAAATAAAATTTAAAATAATCCTACCTAGCCTATTAGATTACTTTAAAGTTTCATATTTCCTTGATAATCTCACCCAGGAATTATTTCAATATCCATTAAACTAATGTATCACTTAGCTTCTGCTGTTCATAACTCTTTTGAATTCAGCCTCACTTAACTATGCTCCTGACTTCTTTTTACTGTATTTTGTGAGCTTCTTTATAGGAGGGATGTTGTCTGCCTTTTTAGTGTCTTACCATCTCATCTCTAGCACAGTCCCCTGGACAGAGTGGGGCAGTAATAAATACTAATTGAACCAAAAAAAAAAAAAAAAAGAAAAAAGAAAAGTAAATATTGCAGATACATGCCTTTCTTTTAAAAATACACCTGAGTAGGGGCGCCTGGGTGGCTCAGTTGGTTAAGCGACTGCCTTCGGCTCAGGTCATGATCCCGGAGTCCCGGGATCGAGTCCCGCATCGGGCTCCCGGCTCAGCGGGGAGCCTGCTTCTCCCTCTGACCTTCTCCCCTCTCATGCTGTTTCTCTCTCTCTCTCTCTCTCTTTCTCTCTCAAATAAATAAAATCTTTAAAAAAAATACACCTGAGTAATAAATTACTATTTTGCATTTAGCATTTCAGTACATTGTTGATACAAAATACACATTTCACAAATATTTTTAAATCATATGTGCTAGTGGTTATGATCAAACTATTAACTGCTCTTAAATAGGAGTAGGTGGTGAATTTTCTAACTTTTTTTTTTTGCTATAAAGTCAAACTTGTTGAATTGATCTTTAGCCAGAAAGTAACAAAAAATAATTGAAGTAATTATTCTATTATTTGTTCTAATCCATACAGATTTTATGCCGCCAAAAGATAATGCCTTTAATTGCTATGCTTATTTATTAAAGAAAATAAGAATCAACAAATTAGGGAAATAACTTTTAACCCAAATTGCATTCCCAGGAATATGTCAAAGCTGGTGGCATTCTTCAGGAGGATATTTCTGAAGCTTGTCTAATTTTGGGAGTTAAAAGACCCCCAGAGGAAAAATTAATGTCTAAGAAGACTTATGCATTCTTCTCCCACACAATAAAGGCTCAGGAGGCCAATATGGGCTTGCTGGATGAGATTCTGAGACAGGTAATTAGTGACCAGTAATCACAAATGTTAACATAGAAACAATTTTTCTTTCGACTTTTAAATGTCAAGTGGAGTTTTAGTTTTCTTTCAGCATCTTGGAAATACATCATGTTATTCACCTCACTAGGAAAGGTGATCTGTGAGTTAGTGCTTGAATAGTTCTGCTGCTCTTCGGGCTCCTCTGCTGTGCTAGTTTGGAATTTGTAATGAGAAGCCAAGCGTTTCATTCCTTTTGTACTGAAATGGAAAAAAATGGTAGAAGTGTTCCCCCCCAAACAGTTAGCACTTTATGAGGCCAATTGGTCAGATATTCCCAAGTAGAACTGAGAGCTAAAAAGAGCCTCAGGGATCATATAATTCACATCCCTCATTTTTCAGATGGAGCGCAGAGGGGTGAAGTGACTCGACCAAGGTTGCCCAGCTCTGTAGTGCCAGAACTGGACTGGAGATTATTTTTACATTTATTAACATTCATGAAGGAAGGAATAATTTTTTGAGTTATAAGTACTATACAAAAACTATCAGCTGTTTAAAATACAGAGTATTCATTCAACAAATATTTACTGAGTGTTTGCAGTGTGTCTGACCCTCTTCACTGCAATGGCAATAAACTAACTGTCTTCACAGAGCTTACATTCTAGTGGGAGGAGACAGATGATAAATATATAAATAAGATATCTGTCACTTAGAGATATGTGTGATGGACATAAATATGATACAGAAGGGAAAAAAAGGGGTTCTGGGCACTGTGGGTGGTGACAGTAGTTTAAATAGGATGATCAAGGAAAGCCTCATTGCAGATTTGGCATTGAGCAAAAATTTGAAGTAATGTGAAGGATCAAGTCATATTCATTGGGGTAGAGTCTTCCAAGCAGACAGCATAGTAGCACAAAGTCCCATGGGTCTGGCTGAGTGGAGGGTTAGTGTCAGTCATGTTCTAAAGTGCTTCTTCAGCCTGCTGTGTGGATGATATTGGAGATGGGAGGGGAAAATTGATAGGATTGTTAGTTTAGACTAGTATGGACCCCAGGTTCCAAATGACAGTGGCTTGCATGAGGCCAGTGGAAGCGGAGGTGGTGATGCATAGACCCAATATCGGGTGGATTTTAGAGGTCCGATCCTGCAGAAGTTACTGGTGAGACAAACGTGGAATATGAGAGAAAAGAGTGGAATGAGAGGAGTCCAAGGTTTTGGCCTGAGCAATTTCAAGGAGTTGCTACAAACTGAGATGATGGTACTGCAAGAGGGAGCAGGCTTGGATGGGAGGATCAGGAGTTGAGTTTGGGGCCTGTTGAGTTTAATTTGCCAATTAGACATTTAAGCAGATTGCAGACTTTAGACATTAGATTTTAAGGAGGGAGGCATTGATATGAGTTTGAGGCTCAGGGCGGCTCCTCCTGATACGTATTTGTAGTTGTCAGAGACTTGATGGCATCTACGACCATGAAACTGGATGAGGGTAGGCAGTGAGTATAGATAGAGAAGTCCAAGGTCCAAGCCCTGGGGTACGAATGCTAGATTAGAGCATTAGGAACTAGACTAGAATCTGAGAATAGGCAGAGAGCAGGAGGCTTCACAAACAGTAAAAGCAGTGGAAGAAAATGTGTTCTGTACAGACCTATAGAATACATACCTACTCATTTCAAATATGCTAGACCTGGCCTAGTGAATTCCCAGTGGTTTTGAAAAGCAAATTCAAAAAGTAATTAATGGAAATAATATAAGATTGCACCTTAAGCAGATAAATTCCTTTAAAAGTACTTTAGAAGCATTTTCTTCAGGGGCGCCTGGGTGGCTCGGTTGGGCAACCGCCTTCGGCTCAGGTCATGATCCTGGAGCCCCAGGATCGAGTCCTCCATCGGGCTCCCTGCTCAGCGAGGAGCCTGCTTCTCCCTCTAACCCTCCCCCCTCTCATGTACTCTTTCTCTCTCTCATTCTCACTCTCTCAAATAACTGAATAAATCTTTAAAAAAAAAAAAGCATTTTCTTTGTTAATGGCTTTTTGTTCATTACAGGAGAATTAACAAAAACAGAATGGGCATGGCTGCTTTTTGGCAGTATTTTGTAACCAGTTAGAGTTGGATGACTATTAAACATTCTTAAATTCAGGCACATGGTAAAAATCATGATCTTTGAGGAAATAAAATGCCTATTTAAAACAGTCTATAATTACAGTGTATCAGTAGCTTTTAAGCGCGAGTTAGTAAGACATTCCTGAGAGGGAAGATCCCCAAAGACAGAGGAAGAATGCGGTTTCAGTGAAGGTGAGAAAGTGAAAAGCAGGCAGCATGTGTTACTTTGCAAATGAAGCTTACTTGTAAAAGGAGAGAAGGAAAGGAGAAAGGGAGAGAGAGAGAAAATGAGATAGATTTGTGTGTATGGACTTGAGAGGGGGAGTTGTCATTTTTAAGGTAGGAAGGAGCAGTGTACAAAGGGATAATGCAGGAAAGAAAAAGTTCAAGAGTGGCCTTGGAAGACATGGGAAAAAGCTGGGATCCAGCTCACAGGGATTAGCCTTGGGAGGGACTTGTTTTCTTTGAGACTAGAAGGAAGGGTGTGGGGGTGAGTGGGACTATAGATAGGTATGTAGGTGGTGCTGGCCTAAAAGTTAAAGGAGATCATGTCTTTGCTATTTTATTGACTACTGTCAAGGGGCATTTATCACCCTGTTAGGACCATCTCTAATCACAAACCCATCATTGGTTTGTGACCCAGCATTTTCTAAATACTTCATGGTGTACCTGATGGTAACTTACAAAGTCAGGTCAAGATATATTTTATAAGAGGAAGAAATGTGAAATATTTATTTGCTCATATATGTACTCTACTCATTGAAATTAAGCTTAATGGGTCTGGGTGGAAATTTTTTATCCTTCAGGAAATCCGACTTATTGATTATGAGAAAATGGTGGATCATAGAGGAACACGGGTAGTGGCGTTTGGACAGTGGGCAGGTGTGGCAGGTAGGTATGCCAGGGTTTTTACATCACCCACTTTCTAAATTTGCCTGGGAAGTAACTGTTTTCTTTTTTCTGTGGCAAGGGCATGGAAGTGTTCATTTCCACTAATAAAAATAAACATGTGGGTACAGTGAAGGGTGATGAATATTAGGGGAATAAAATAAGGTAAATCATTACACATCTTTATTACAAAAGTTAAAAAGAAAAAGCAGGAAAAAGGAGAAAAACTATGAATAGGTTCTGACTTTTTAGGTAGTTCTGTCTGGAGGACTAGGGGAGGTCAGTTTGGTGATGAGACATGGTGGAGAATAAAGGGGGAAAGAGAGGGAAAAGATACAGGGATGGGAACCAAGAGAGGAGCAGTCTAGAAAGGATAAAAGCTGGAATTGGGGGAAAACTCCGCTTGATTTTTGTCCCAGTTGGTACCTTGGAACTTCTTGAGGAAGCACAACTTTTATATTAGAGCTCTGCATCAGATTAGATTACTTAAAGGTTTGTAATTGTTGGAACAAGTAGAAAATTTGTGGGTATAGAACAGGAAGACACCGTCGGCCACCCTGATGCAACTGATGGTTATTGAGCAGTCGCCCAGATGGCCCGTAAGAACAAAACAGTTCTTAATAAACATAAAATGTTTGAAATCATAGAGTATGTGCTCTAAACTATAATAAAGTTGATGTTGAAATAATAATAGAAAGATATCTAGAAAATTTCGAGATATTTGGAAGATAATGTATTTCTGAATAACCCATGAGTCAAGAAGGAATCACAGGAAAAATTAGTAAATACTTGAATTGAATGAAAATTTAAAACAGCATACCAAAATTTATGGGGTGCAGATAAGGTGGTTACTTAGGAGGAAATTTGTAGCATTTAATGCTTTTACTGGAAAAGAAGAAAGTCCAAATTAGTGATCTAAACTTCTATCTTACAAAGCAGGAAAATGAAGAAGTAATTAAATGCAAAGCAAATACAAGGAAAAGAATAATAAAGAGGGAAAATCGATGAAATCAGAAGCTAGATTTTAAGCAAATCAATAAAATCGATAGGCCTCCAGTTAGACTGATTAGAAAAAGAGAGAAGCCACAATTTACCAATATTAGGAATATATGAGGGGTCATGACTGTATTTCATATAGACATTAAAAGGGAAAGAAAGTATTATGAATAGGCCAATAAATTTGACAATGTTGATCAAATAGACAAATCCTTGAAAGACAAAAATTACCACAACCAACTCAAGAAATAAAAAACTTGAATATCAATGTACATAAGAAATTCTACTCATAGGGGTACCTGGGTGGCTCAGTCGTTAAGCGTCTGCCTTCGGCTCAGGTCATGATCCCAGGGTCCTGGGATCGAGCCCTGCATTGGGCTCCCTGCTCTGTGGGAAGCCTGCTTCTCCCTCTGCCACTCCCCCTGCTTGTGTTCCCTCTCTTGCTGTCTCTCTATGTCAAATAAAATCTTAAAAAAAAAAAAAAATTCTACTCATAGGCATTTATCGAGAAATGAATTATTTTTTATAAAGACTTATTTCTAGTAGCTTCATTCATAATAGCGTAGAAACAGTCCAAATGTCCATCAGCCGAAGAATGCATAAATAAGTTGTGATATACCCATAAAATGGAAACTCCTTGTCATTAAAAAGAAGTAAACTACTGAAACTACACTGAATTATGTATGAATCTCAAAAACATGCTAAGTGAAAGCAGACACACAAGAGAGTATATACTTATAATTTCATTTATATGAAACTGTAGAATTAACGACTCTACACAGAGAGAAATAAGACCAGTAAGTAGTTAGTTCTGGGGCAAAGGACTGGGGAGGATTGCCTGGGGTGATGGAAATATTCTATATCTCGATTATGTTGGTGGTAATATGGGTGCATACATATGTTCAGTTATCAAACGGTATGCTGAATTGGTGCATTTTATTGAATATAAATTACACTTTTAAAAGATGACTTCAGAAAAAAGCTCAAAGAACGTTTGGAAGGGATACAGAGAAGGAGAAAGCAAGAGGAGAATGGATGCTGAGGTCTTTGCTATGGGTATGCTGAGTTTTCGCTATTTGAGTCCAAATTGAGAAATCCATAAGGTAGTTGGTCAGGTCTTGAAATAAAATATCTGTGTTAGAGATACAGACTTGGGGTCATCAGCATATACAGAATACTTGAAATTTAGGACTGGATAAAATTAGCCAAGGGAAAAAAAAATAGAGATCGAAGAGACTAGGACACTGGACCGAATCCTGAGGCTAATTAATTTAAAAGAGGACCTTAAGGAAAGGGGAAAGGACACTAATTTAAAAGAAATGGGCATGGGAAGAGGCACCTAGAGAAATGTGGGATGAAAATTTTTAAGTCAGGGATGCTGAGGGAAGAGGGTTCCAGTAGAGAGAGAGTCCACGTTGCCAAATACCTCTGACAGGTAAGATCTGACAATTGTTCACTGAGTTTAGCTATTTAGGTCACTAAAATTGCCGATGGCACTCATAAGGTCAATGCTGACCTTAATTTTGTTTGTTCATTAGTTTTGGTTTGAGAGGAATGTAAGTGTCTTTAAATGTTGATAGGAGTGAGCCAATAGGGAGGGATAGTAAAAGGAATAATTTCAAAAGTGAATTCCTTAGAGAAGGAATGGGAAGGGATGGGATTTGGAGCAAAGATAGAATAACCTCAGAAAAGAAGAGGGACACTCTTTCCATTTTGGCAGGATTGAAAGTGGAAGGGAATAGGTAGGGAGGCAGCTGGGTTAGTGCTTTTGATGGCAGAAAATTGAGGGGATGGATAATGTGACCCCTGGGGCCCCTTCCAAATCTGAGATGCTGTGATCTGTGCTTCGTCAGAGCACGGAGCAGGTTGGAGAATGGTCAGAACAGCTTCAACTCCTGACTGATGGCTTTTCTGTTGGTCTGATTCTGCAATAGGGATGATCAACATTTTACATGGAATGGGGTTAAGGCTCCTTGCTTTGGGACATCACACACCTTTTATGGTGAGATGTGTATTTTGTTTGTTTATTTATTTTTTTGAAAATACATATCAGGAAAGTGTCTCAGGTGGTCGACTAACTTGAATTCCTGTATGCTTGCTCTCAGCACATTGGCATGGCTCATAACTACAGGAACAGTGGTCAGGCTGTGCAAGCTGTCCGCGATGCTGGCTATGAAGTATCTCTGGGATTGATGCCAAAGTCGATAGGGCCTTTAACATTTGTGTTCACAGGGACTGGTAATGTATCTAAGGTAACTTCTTAGATTTCTAAGAAAGTCCTCTTTCTGTAAAGCAATCAAAACCCTGAAACTAACTCAAGGAATGTGAACATTTTGTGGTCATTTCAGAGCCTTGCTTCTGGATGAGTAGGTGTTCACAATTTTTGGTACTTTTCTTGCCTATGTAACTTTTCCCCCAGTATAGAGCAGTAATGATCCAGACTTATTTTCTTTGCTTTCAGTTGACTCCAAGCTGTCAAGAGTCTTTGAACGCTTTTTCTTTTTAAAGGGATAAGTCATTGTTAATGGTATAAAGGTCTGTTCTTAGGGTGATCTGTTTTACCTTCATCGCTGAGATGTCCAAAAGTTTGGAATTGAGCACAGGATGTAAATTTTTTAAAGTCATTTGAAGTTTTGCCAATAAGATTTTGGGAAGCTTAATTCAGGACTGAATTCATACTTTCTTCCTTCTGGGATGGTTTTGAGAAGGCATTTGTGATCCCCCAGAGAAATCTGTAATTGTAAAATAGATCTTCACTCAACGAAAATATTTTACAAAAAGGACCTCGCTATTTGTATTATACTGTGAGATAGGCATCTACTTTGTTTTCATGGGAAATACAGTTTCCCCAGTTGAAATAATTCTGCAACGGAGCAAAAAGTAAATAGAAATGTTTTATTGTGCTCTCATTTTTAAAAATGTAGACACCCTTGTGTCTACTCTGAGTAACTTAAGTAAAAAAAATTAAAGCTCCTTCCAACGAATGCTGTTCATACAGGAAGAAAAGCTGATTTGTAGACTGTGTGCGAGAAGTGTATCTGTACTTCTGTGTTGCAGGCCTCGTCGCTGGGCCGGATAAGTGGAGCTAATAGTTGTGGGGAAAGTGCATTGGAATCTTTGCAGAAAACTGTGTTGGCTTTTTTCCTATTGATTTTTAGATTTTTACTCATGCATTATTTACAGGGAGCCCAAGAAATCTTCAATGAGTTACCTTGTGAATATGTAGAACCACATGAATTAAAAGAAGTTTCCCAAAATGGAGGTAAGGGGGAGGGGGATAACTGTATGTATCTTTTAACTGTTTTTAACAGTTTCTGTGTTACAATATTTTATCACCATAAATCTTTATCATTTGTCACCTACTTTACTAATTTCTTTCTCTTCTGCAAGACCTGAGAAAAGTGTATGGGACAGTGTTAAGTCGCCATCATCATCTTGTCAGGAAAACAGATGGTGTATATGATCCTGTAGAGTATGACAAATATCCTGAGCGCTACATAAGCCGTTTTAATACTGATGTGAGTATCACACTCAGCTTCTGAGCTGGTTGCTCCTAATACACTATAGTTAGGCTGTTTTTAAGGAGAGAGATTATAAATGTATACATTGGTTTTCAGTTCCCCATATTGACTTGTGAATCCTTTGGGTTGGCCTTAGGAGTTGTTGGCTTTTACTGACGTTTGGAGTGGCCTTTGCTTAGTGGTTTTGGTTGGATATGCCCTTTGCTTCACTGCCTCTGTTTCTGCTTCGTGTCTGCATGTGCCCAATAACTCTAAACCATGTCCTGTGGAGTACTCTTTTCTGTATTTATCCTGGACCAGTTAGTACTATTAGCAAAGCCCAGTGTCTGTGAGGTTTCATCTCAACCTAGGGTTCTATGGCCACAAATTGCAGTCATAACCTCAGCCAGCTGTCTTGGAATGCATGACATTGATGACGGGGGGCTAGGGTGAAATAGCACAGCTACATAGGCACAGACCCGTCCCCATTGTACAGAAAGTTACCTATAATTCAGAACCTTCTGATGGGGACACACTGGCCTTATCTTTTAAGAAGAACAATGTATTTATGTGTTCTGTAGGAGACACTGCAAAGTTCTCCTCAAAATAAACCAACAGGCCAAAAAATAAACAAAAAGTGCATGCATTTATTACGAAAAGGAATGTTTTAAATAATTTTAAGTATGTTTGAACAATAAGATTATAGATTCTGGTATGAAATATAGCTATTAAGGCATGTAAAGCTTGTTGTAGAGAAGGACTTTTACCTGTAGCTTGAGAATGCTTGAGTTGCTTGAGAAACAAAAATTACGAAACTAGTTTCAGACTGAAAAATTAAAAATCTAGTAAATTTCCATCGCTTCTCTTTCCCCCAGTCACAGAAATATTGGTGATTGGATGCATCCTAAAATTTATAATGACCTAGCTACCACGTATGCATGTATGTAGCGCATTTGTTCATGGAGCTTACATATGTTATCTGATTTAATCTTCACAGCATTCCTTTGAGGAATGGGGTACATATTATCCCCATCTGGCAGGTAAGGAAAATAGAGCCCAGAGAAGTTGAGGTAGCATGATGTAGATCACCCTACTGGCGGTTGAGCTGGAAATAGAGTGCTAGCTAGGTCACTTGATTCTGTCCTTTCCCTTTTCTTGGCCATGCAGTACATTAGAAAACAGAAACATTAATATATTTATGCTCATATACTTCTCTATCATGGAGCAATTCTGCACTGAAACCTGGGTGAGTATTGTCTTCACCTCGCAAAATGACCACTGACATGGCAAATAATAAAGTCAATTCGAAGTAACATGAAATTATTTCTTATGAACTTTACTGATAGCTCTCTTTCAGCCTACTGCATTGAAATTTGCTATTGCCTGTCTTGTTGAACTTGGCACTTGCTTTACAGATTGCACCCTATACAACTTGTTTAATTAATGGAATCTACTGGGAACAAAACACCCCTCGTCTACTAACTCGCCAAGATGTCCAGAGTCTCTTGGTCCCAGGCAAGTCCTCTGTTGCTGGTGTGGAAGGCTGCCCTGCATTACCACACAAGTAAGGACTTTACTTCAGTAATGATGGCAGTTTTCAGCAGCAGGGCCCACTTTTAGGGTATTATCTGCAGGGGATTCACATATCATGGGACTTGACTGCTAATGACTGGTAGTCTGCTTTATCTCACTTGATCTCTTGGTAGCATTTGACAATTAACCTTCCTTCCTTCTTGAAACTCTCTTCTCTTAACTCTACATGAAGCTCAAAGGTAGCCTCCTCAGAAAGATCTGTGTTCCCATCCCCATCTCTGTCTAGTCTGTTACTTTTTTTTCCCCTGAAATTCATGATCATTTATTTTCCTGTGTTTATGATTTTTCTCCCTCCTGTTTGTCTTAGTGACAAGTACCCAGTACATTGCCTGACATACAATTTGTATTCAAATAATTATTAAATGTTGAATTACATAATTAGTCAATAAATATTTGTTAACACCTCCTCTGCCTGGCACTCTGCTAAGCTGAAGGATAGAGAAAAAATATGATTACTACCCTCAGGCATGTAGCCGGCATGAAGTAAATGCCAAGGGACTGCTAGGAGCAGTAAATAGCACAAAGATTTAGAAGAAAGTGGGAACATTGGTCTCAGCAGAGCCTTGAAAAGGAAGACTGAGGAGAAAGAATTTCAAGTGGTAGGACTGGTGCTTGATAAATGTGGAACCACCAAGACACAACTTAAGACACAGCGAGTGAGCAGTCTAGCTCTAGTGCAGGGTTGACAAAGGCAAATGGTAGTTGGAAGTTGCGCAGGAAATTTTTGGTCAACCCCTAAAGGATTTCAAAAGCTGGGCTGAGATTTCTGTTCATAATTCTAGAGATTTCCCTGTATTAACATGTGAAATTATGTAGTGGCCAGATAAGCACAGACCTGTCCCCACTGTACAAGAAGTTACCTACAATTCCAAACCTCCTGATGGGACACACTGGCCTCACTTTATATGAAGAATGATGTATTTGTGTGTTCTGTAGTCATCAGTCATACAAAGTCCCTTTCAGAATAAACCTGGTGCCACTAAGCAGGGTGGAGGTAGTGTAGTCAAACCTTTTTAAGTTATTTAGAGTTGGCTAAATAGGTTAACTTTAGGCTGTTTCTTATGATTTCTCTAGGGAAGGGGTTTTCCACTTTGATTTCCTTTTTTCTCCTCCTCCTCTTCTTTTTCTTCTTACTTTTGTGTGTGGAGACTAAAGCTTATAGTGGGAAGATTGTCTATATCCTAGAAGAACACAGTGTCCTGAACAGTGAACTGTAGGAAAAAGAGCTGAAGAGCCCAGGAAATATTTGGCACCCACACTGAAAGTTGTTCAAGTACCTTTCATTTTTATTCATTTTTAATCTTGTTGAGAAGTTCCATGCTCTCATCTGAGTATTGATGTTATTTTCAGACTTGTCGCAATATGTGACATTTCAGCTGACACAGGAGGATCAATAGAGTTTATGACTGAGTGTACGACAATAGAACATCCCTTTTGTATGTATGATGCAGACCAGCATATTATTCATGACAGGTGAGTTTGCTTGATACACTAGTGTAAAATATTCAGTGTTTTACATTTTTCTGAAGGATATGCAAATATCCAGAGAGGTGCTCAACCATATTTAAAAATTTGGTAGAAAAACAACATGCAAAATCAAACACTTATATACATGTATATTATATTTAAATGGGAGATGGGTTGCTGAAGAAGGGAAGTTTTGTTTGAAGTCTTGTTTATTTTCTTTTATCCTTTGGTACACAATTATAAATTATTTTGGAACAAATATAATGGAGTAGATGCCTGGGAAAGTTAGAGCTTACGAGTAACATTGTATACAGCTGAATAAAGCATATTGCTTCTCCTAGTGTTGAAGGCTCTGGGATTCTGATGTGTTCCATTGACAATTTGCCAGCACAGCTTCCAATTGAAGCTACAGAATACTTTGGAGACATGCTTTACCCTTATGTTGAAGAAATGGTAAGCTGACTGATAGCATCCACAGTAATTCTGTGGCTTTAAATAGATCTTAGGAATGTTCTGGTCTTCTATACATAAGAAATCGGTTGTAAAATGAAATGCCAGCCCTCCCTCAAAAGTATTTGTAGATGCTCTTTTATATATTCTGCTTACTTGTCTCATGGGGTATATAATTATATAACTGCCTTCATGATTAACTACAATTGGATTTATCTCTTATTATGCATATTTTATTAAGAATGTTCATGACATGTGAGATAAGATTTCCTTTTTTTTACTCTTCCTGCTGTCTAGGTCAATTCATGTTAGAACATTCTTACTGTGCTGTGATGAACAAATTTGAAAATTCAGAAATGCAGAAAATTTTATTGGCTGTTTGTCACTAATGCTTAGTGAAGTGACAGCTTTTGTTGTGGTCATGTATTTTTCATTGTAATCAGTGATTGACTATTGAAATACTGTGTTATCTAAATTCCATTTCATTTGCCAAAGATAAGCATTCTTACTTCAGTATTTATCTTAAGCATACTCTTCTGTTTCTGTGCTGAGAATTTCTATCTTTTCACACACTATGAGTGTACCATTTTTTATCATATAGACAGAGTTGGAAAAGCCACTTTATAGTCTTTGCATCGTATTTCCAAAATTCTGTGTCAGCTTGTGGTTGAACTTTGTTGTCTTTTCCCTTGAAAATGGGTCAGGTCATAGTTTTCTGGTTTTCCAGTTGAATAATTTGGGGTTGTATCCTGGGTGATGTGAATAGTTATGCTGTGGAGACTCTGGATTGTTACATTTTCCTGAAAAGTGTTGATTGTTTGTTTGTTTAGCAGAGAATTCATTGGTTAGACTTAAGTTGAAAACTTGTCTCACCTGAGGTGGGGGTAGCTCAAATAAAAGTTCAGCTCTTTCATCTTTACCTGGGTTGCTTACCTACACACACTCAGTTTGGGGCTTATCCAGAGACTTGAACAGAGCTCACATGAAAGGTGGGCTTCACTTTTTCTAAATCTGCCATTTCTGGCATTTTCCACTTACATTTTGGAGGCTGTGGTTGCTCTGGGTTCTGTTCCTGCTACACCCACGAAAAGTCATGCCAAATGCTAGACTCCTCTCTTTGTGCTTTCTTCCCCAGAATTACAGTGCAGCAAGTCTTACCTACCTTAAAATTTTTTTTTTTTAATTTTAATTCCAGTATAGTTAACATATGGTGTTATAGTAGTTTCAGGTATACAATATCACTATATTGTATATATTGTTCAACAATCCTATATATTACTCAGTGCTCATCATGAAAAGTGTACCCTTAATCCCCATCACCTATTTCACACATCCCCCACCTCCCCTCTGGTAACCATCTGTTTGTTCTCTATAGTTAAGAGTCTGTTTTTTGGTTTGTCTCTTTTTTTCCTTTGTTCCTTTGTTTTGTTTCTTTAATTCCACATAGGAAAATCATACGGTATTTGTCTTTCTCTGACTGACTTATTTTGCTTAGCAATACTCTGTGTAGCTCCATTCATGTTGTTGCAAATGACAAGATTCCATTCTTTTTTATGGCTGAATAATATTCCTGTGTGTGTATGAGTGTGTGTGTGTGTGTGTGCACGTGTGTGTGTATATATATATACATACATACATACATACATATATATATATATATATATAACACCATATCTTTATCCACTCATCTATTGCTGAACACTCGGGCTGCTTCCATGATTTGGCTACTGTAAATAATGCTGCAATAAACATTTTGTTGAGGATTTTTGCATCGATTTTCATTAGAGATATTGGCCTATAGTTCTCTCCCCCCCCCCCCCCCTTTTTTTTTTGTAGTGTCTTTATCTGGTTTTGTTATCAGGGTAATGCTGGTCTCATAGGATCAGTTTAGAAGCTGTCCTTCCTCTTTTATTTTTTGGAATAACTTGAGAAGAGTAGCTATTAACTCTTCTTTAAATGTTTGGTAGAATTCATCTGTGAAGCTATCTTGTCCTGGACTTTAGTTTGTTGGGAGTTTTTTGATTAGTTATTTAATTTCATTGCTGGCAATTGATCTGTTCAAATTTTCTGTTGCTTCCTGATTCAGTATTGAGAGGTTATATGTTCCTAGGAACTTATCCATTTCTTCTAGGTAGTCCAATTTGTTGGTATATAATTTTTCATTATCTTCTTTTACAATTATTTGTATTTTTGTGGTGTTGGTTGTTATTTCTCCTCTTTCTTTTCTGATTTTGTTTGAGTCCTCTCTGTTTCTCTCTCTCTTTCTGGATAAGTCTGGTTAAAGGTTTATCAATTTTGTTGATGTTTCCAAAAAACCAGCTCCTAGTTTCATTGCTCTGTTTTATTATTTTGTTTTATTTCTGTTTTGTTTATTTCTGCTCTAATACTTATTATTTCCTTCCTTCTGCTGGTTTTGGGTCTTGTTTATTTTTCTTTTTCTAGCTTTTTATATATTTGAGGTTTTTTTTTCTTCTTGAAGTAGGCCTGTATTGCTATATACTCCCCTCTTAAAACAGCTTTTGTTGCATCCCAAAGATTTTGGGCCATTGTGTTGCATTTTCATTTGTCTCCATGTATTTTTTGATTTTCTCTTTGATTTCTTGATTGCACCATTCATGTTTAGTAGCTCATTATTTAATCTCCATGTATTTGTGGTCCTTCTAGATGTTTTCTTGTGGTTGATTTCTAGTTTCATGGTGTTGTGCTCAGGAAAGATGCATAGTATGACTTCAATCTTTTTGAATTTATTGAGACTTGTTTTGTGGCCTAATATGTGATCTGTTCTGGAGAATGTTCCATGTGCCCTTGAAAAGAATGTGTATTCTGTCTTTTAAGGATGGAATATTCTGAATATATCTGTTAGATCCATCTGGTCCAATGTGTCATTCAAAGACACTGTTTCCTTGTTGATTTTCTGTTTGGATGATCTACCCATTGATGTAATTGGGGTATTGAAGTCCCCTACTATTATTGTATTACTATCAATTACTTCCTTTATGTTTGTTGTTAACTGCTCTATGTATTTGGGTATTCCCATGTTGGGTGCATGAATATTTACAATTGTTATATTTTCTAGTATATAATATATATTATTCTTTATACTAATATATATATTCTAATATTAGGGTGTATATATATTTCTTTGTCTCTTGTTACAGTCTTTGTTTTAATGTCAATGTTGTCTGATATAAGTATTGCTACCCTGGCTTTATTTTCACAGCTATTTGCATGATAAATTCTCCATTTCTTCACTTTCAATCTGCATGTGTCTTTAAGTCTCTTGTAGGTGGCATATAGATAGGTCTTGCTTTTTTATCCATTCTGTCACCCTGTGTCTTTTGACTGGAGCATGTGGTTCATTTACATTCAAAGTAATATTGATAGGTATGCACCTATTGCCATTTTGTTACTTGTTTTATGGCTGTTTTGTGGATCTTCTCTTTTCCTTTCTTCTCTTGCTCTTGTCTTTTATGGTTGACTTTCTTTAGTGATGATCTTGGATCTTTTCTCTTTTATTTTTTTCCATATATATTACCGATCTTTGGTTTGTGGTTCCTATTCAGTTCATATATAACATCTGCATATAGCAGTGTATATATAAAGATGAGGGCTGCTTAAGTTTGAACCCATTCTTTACTCCTCTACCTCCCACATTTTAGGTATATGGTACCATATATTTTTTTAAGACATTATTTATTTATTTGACAGAGAGAGAGACAGCTAGAGCAGGAACGCAAGCAGGGGGAGTGGGAGAGGGAGAAGCAGGCTTCCCACAGAGCAGAGAGCCCAATGTGGGGTTTGATCCCAGGATACTGGTACCATGACCTGAGCCAAAGGCAGACGCCCAATGACTGAGCCACCCAGGTGCCCCTATGGTGTCATACTGTACATCCTTTTATTTTGAGTCCAGTCCCTTGACTGATTTTTATAGGTATACTTAATTTCACTGCTTTTGTGCTTCCCACTTTTCTTACTTACTTATGGTTGTTCCTACCCACTCAGAGTCTCCTTTAACATTTCCTGTAGGGCTGGTTTAGTGGTCATGAATTCCTTTACCTTTAGTTTTTCTGGAAAACTTTATTTCTCTTTCTATTCTGAATTATAGCCTTGCTGGATAGAGAATTCTTGGCTGCAGGTTTTTTCTTTTCAGCACTCGGAATATATCATGCCACTCTCTTCCGGCCTGCAAAGTTTCTGATGAAAAATCCACTGATAGCTTTATGGGGTTACGCTTGTATGTAACTGTTTTCTTTTCTCTTGCTGCTTCTAAAATTTTCTCTTTATCACTATTTTTTGCCATTTTATTATGTGGTTTTGTGTGGATCTCCTTGGGTCAATTTTGTTGGGGGCTCTCTGTGCCTCTTGGATCTGGATTTCTGTTTCCTTGTCCAGACTGAAAGAGTTTTCAGCTCTTCTTCAAATACATTTTCTGCCCCCTTTTCTCTTTCTTCTCCTGGGATCCCTATAATGTAAATGTATTATACTTGATTGTGTAGCTGAGTTCCCTAAGTCTGTTTTCATTTTGTATTATTATTTTTTCTCTCACATGTTCAGATTGATTTTTTCCATTACTCTATTCTCCAGGTCCCTGACCTTTTCTTCTGCTTTCTCTAGCCAACTATTTATTCCATCTAGTGTATTTTTAATTTCAGTTATTGAATTCTTCATTTCTGGTTGGTTCTTTTTTATGTTTTCTATCTCTGTTAAGGTTCTTACTGAGGCCCTCCCCTCTTACCTCAAGAACATTTTACTTATCTCCATTTCACTTAGGTATCTTGCTGTGATTTTGTCCTGTTCTTTCATCTGGGACATATTCCTCTGTCTCATTTTGTCTAACTCTTTGTGTCTATTTCCATGTGTAAGGAAAGTCAGCTACATCTCCTGCTTTTGAAAGTAGTGGCCTTATGAAGAAGAGGTCCTGTAGTGCCCTGTAGTCCAATGTTCCCTATTCACCAGAACTGGATGTCTCCTATGTGTGCCGTGCGCACTCTGTTGTTGTGGCTGAGCCATTTTTTTCTTCTGTTGTCATCTGCATGGCCCTCTTTGCCTGTTATGGGCAGGGTTTGGTCCCTGTGATGTTAGTAGGTTGGTCTGGGGCTGCCTTGGGCTTGAGTTGCATCAGACCTGGCATTTGCCATAGATGCAGTAGCACTGAGGTGCAGGTTGCTTTCCCTGTTTTGTCTTCTGAAAAGCTTTTGTGGGTGGGTGGGACCTGCTGTCAGATCAGCTGTCTGTCCCCAGCCCACTGCTGGGGTTCAGTCTGACTGGTGTGTGTGGTTCTCTTTCCCTCTCCCTGGAGCAGGCATCGCTTTGGAGTGGTGCTGGTCCATCAGCGCTGCCTGCATACTGCCAGCCTTGTGGCAGCACTTTGGATGGGCTCAGACCAAGAGTATATTGGAGGGGCTTGATCTGCAGAAGCCTGTGGTGTCAGATGTGGGGTGTTAGCAAGGCTTGCACAATTCTTTAGTGGGAGGAGACATTGAGCTGAGGCCTGGCTTGAGGGGGTGTGTCTACAGGGGAACACACAGGTAGGGCACACTGTTATCAAGTTAGGTAGAAGTGTAGGTGCTACGCTGCTTTCAGCTGGTAGCATGTGTTTATGCTGGGGGGTGGGGCAGGGAAGTAGTGTAGGCCAGCTCCTTGATTCCTAGAGAAGTCTCTCATGGATTCTTGCCCCCAATCCCCGGCACATGCTCTGAGATTAGTAAACAAATCTTCCTCCCATATACCCCAGGCATTTTTCAAACTGCTGCTTCTATGCTATATCTCAGTGGGGCTTTTTCTTGTGCTGTCTCTTTAAGGGCAGGAACTCAGTTTCATCTTGCCCTCCTGGGTCTCCCAGAGCCAAGCCCGCAGATTTTTAAAGTTACAGGTTTTAAGGACCGGTGCCTGTAAAAACTTGTGCAATTCAGCCCTTCTGGTTTTCAAAACCAAATATTATGGGGATTCATCTTTCCTGTGTGGGTTCCCAGGTGTGAGAGTCTGTTTCTCTCCCCTCTGTGTGCCTGTGTTGTCTCTCCCTCCTGTGGAAAGTCCTGAGGATCCCTGCATCTCAGCCCTTCCTACCCTCTTCATTGTGGCCTCTTCTCTTCATTTAGCTGTGGAGTGTTTGTTCTGCCAGTCTGCAAGTCATTTTCTGGGTTATTTAAACTGATGTGATTGTTACATAGTTGTGTCTGTGGGAAGAGGTGAGCTTAGGGTCCTCCTATTCCACTGTTTTCCCCAGACAAAAAAAGTTTTATCTACTTTTTTGAAGCTAAAAACTGAGGCTTTTCATGTTTTACTCAATGGGAAGATTGGTCTGAAAAGATCTAATTCACCATTGCTGGAAAGAAAATGTATATTTAAGTAGGCAATATGTTTTTGCTTACATAAATTGGCAGTTGATAGACTCTTAGGCAATGTGACAAGGTTAAAATTACCTGACAGTGAGGTGTTGGAGGTTTTTGGTCAGACTAAGGCAGGTGATATTGCATAGATGTCTGACTAAGCTGGCTTCTCTAAATTGTCACACCTTTTTCCTTTTATGTATCATGATAGTCCTCCAAACAGTGTGGTGGGATTGTCTTGGGGGCATCTATCTCAGCACTGTCTCTGAGCACTGGACATTTGTGAAAATTTATGGCTTTATATTGTAGTCTTGATATGTGTGTATCTGCTTACCACCAAAAAAATTGAGTATATTGTCTGTGTTCTCTTCTGATAACTGTATGGGAACTGTATTTAAAGTATATGCCCTGTTAAGCATCTGACTCTTGGTTTTGGCTCAGGTCATGATCTCAGGGTCGTGAGATCGAGTCCTGCATGGGGCTCTGCTTGTCCCTCTCCCTCCCCCTCTGCCCCTCCCCCTACTCTCTCTCTCAAATAAATAAAATCTTTTTAAAAAAAGTATATGCACTTTTACCCCTAGATTTTCCTTTTTGACATAAGGTTCAGACCTTGTGGCATTAAAGGTTATCATTCTGAACCAATAGAGAAGTTTATTTCACTCGAATTAATGGCATATTTATTGTCTGCTGGAATAAGGCACATCTATGGATGAAGAAAATTAAAATACACCTTCTGACCTATAGAAGCACGAGGTCCAGGAAGTGGATGAAACAGGTGTGCAACCCTGCCATAGGTAGACGATGAGAGCCATTAGGAAAATGCTAATGAAGTTGTGGAGGGCGAGGCTCTGTCTTGTTGGGTAAAGTCAGAAGGGTTTTATGAAAGAGGTGACATTTGAGGCAGCTCTTGATAGATGTATAGGATCTGTTCATCTGCATGGGAATGGGAGGCATACTCTCTGATGAAGAGAGGAGAGCAAAGGTGGGAGTTGAGTTAACAGAGGGTTTCTGTGAGCTGTCAAGTCCAATACAGTAAAGGGAAGTATGTTGGTTCCATATTGGAAATGGTCTTGACACCAGGATAATAGCTTGAAATTAATTTAGGAAAGAGTGATGAGCTCTCAAAGGTGGTATATGTGAAAGTGACATGGCATGCCATACACTTTAGGACCGTTGTGCTTATATTTTTGTCATGGTTGAATTCCAGCAAGAAAGACAGTTAAATGCAATCATTCAGCAGCCTTTTGTTTTTCATGTTTGCCTTTCTTTGGGTGGACTCAGGATAGTTACTTCATTTTCCTTGGAAAAATCCATATGATTATTGCATATATCCATTTATCTATTTATTGAGTATTTACCATTTTATTGCACAGGCAAGATGCCAAGTGCAGTTCTTAGCTTCAGTCTGCTTGGGGGCAGATTTTGAGAAAGGCTTCACAGAGGAGGCAGTTCTTCAGCTGTATCTTGGAGGATGAAGAGTGGGAATTCCATGTAGAGGAATAATAGCATGTGAGGCATCCACATGGTATAGCACAGAGGCGTGGGAACGTTAATGCAGATGAGCATCTTCATAGTGTTGATAGGACTGGAGTTTTGGGTATGAGACAAAGGGAGAATTGTGGTTGGAGAGGCAGAGACAGACTATAGAGTCTTGGAGACCACATAGGGAACGAGAGACTTTTATCTTGAGGGTTTTGGAAAGCTACTGGATTATTTTAAATAGACACAGAAGAAACAGTCAGGTTTGTGTTTTAGATTGAAGATAAATGGAAGGAGAGAGGTGGGAGGTAGTTCCCCTGGTCTCAGAAAAGCCTGAGTAAGGCTGCAGAATTAGGTATAACGGTAGAGAAAACGGAAGGATACACAAGAGTTCGGTGGTTTAGCCATATGCCAAGTGAAATTCGAATCCCATGTTGTTATTCACTGACGGTTTCTGGCTGGAGACAGGGTTAGTAGGTGGAGGAGTCGGCTTGAGGAAGGAATAGTCACAGGTGCCTGGGTAAAAGAAGCAATGGAGGACACCAGGTGTGCCAATTCCATGAGTTTCCCCAAAGATGCCCTACCTGCCTTATAGATACATATCTTTTTTTTAAATGCCCATATCCCAGGAATAGATAGCATAAGTGTTGGATGTTTTAGACACATGAAAGTAGTTTTGATATTTATTTTATTTTTTTAAAGATTGATTGATTGATTTTAGAGAGAGAGCACAAGTGGGAGGGGCAGAGGGAGAGGGAGAGAATCTCAAGCAGACTACACACTGAGCACAGAACCCAACATGGGGCTCGATCCCACAACCCTGAGATCACGACCTGAGCCGAAACCAAGAGTTGGATGCTTAACTGACTGTGCCGCCCAGGTGCCCCTGGTATTTATTTTAATACGGTAAATAAATATTTCTCTGCCAGTATCTGGTAGTTACATTTTGCTCTTTCTCAGCTGGGGGAGTGCTCTAGACTTAAACCTACAAGGATAAGGAGGGAATGGTTGTCTCATTGACCCTAAGGTCCTGACCATCAGAAGAAATACTACTAACGTATATGACCTTTACTCTTGGCAGCCTATTCAGGAATTGGATACTTTGTAAGAAAAGAGGAGGATTAGAAGGATGGTGGGACGTTAATCTGAGAGATGTGGCTTTTGTTTTTGGCCATCTGACTCATTCTTGTAAGATAATGGGAAGAGTGGATGACTTTTTGAGGTCTACTTTTTTCTTGATAACTTTCGAAATGCTGATGTGCCTATACATTGAATAATATGGGCCTGAGGGAGACTCCGTATTGCAGGCTTGATGGCTTTTTGTCTGAAAGGCCCATTTTCTTTTCTGCTAGAACGGTGTGAACCTTTGGGGTGGGATTCAGGCCCTCAGAGTGGGAACTATGGCTGTAAAGCTTGTGGTGATGTTTGCCAGCATGTTCAATATGACACATCGAACTGGTGGGGAAGGATAAACCATTTTGTGTTTTTAACAAGCAAAGATGATCAGATTTTAATTTTAAAAGTGGAACTTGTGCTGAAATAGGTTCTTAGGGGACAAAATTCATTGCTTGTGGACTTCTATTACCAATTATTTATATTTAGTGATCTTCAGTAAACTTTTGTAAATTCTTTTTTTTTTTCCTTTGACTAATACTTTAATATGGAAACAAACACCAGGAATTCTTCTCTACAATCATTTATCTCTTACCAATCTCATTTTCCTTTCAGATATTATCAGATGCGACACAGCCTCTTGAAAGTCAGAATTTTTCTCCTGTGGTACGAGACGTAAGTTACGAAAATAGTTTTTTTCCACTACCGTCCTCTCTCCCTCTCTCCCTTTCCCTTTCTCTCTCCATCTTTGTTATATGAGCCCCTGTTTGTGGGTCTAATATATGGACACTAAAGAAATGTCTTGTGTCATACACATTTAGGCAGTAATTACATCCAACGGTGTATTGACGGATAAGTATAAATATATCCAGAAACTCCGAGAGAGCAGGTAAGCATTATTCTTATCTTGGTTTTGTTGAGTATTTTTAAATGCTTCTTTGTGAGTTAATGATACTAGGTTTATACAGTTTTGAAAATGTCTGTACATATAGGAAATCCAAGCTATGTGACTGGCTGAAACCAGTGGGAATTATTTTCCTCTGAATATCATTTTGGCTTTCTAATCTCCTATTGTAGACTTGTGTGTAAGCAAGCAGAAGTCTAAAAAGTTGTCCTTTGAGTAGCCCCTTTTTCATTCTCTAGCATTTTGCATATTGACATGTCTCAGCTATTTTCTTTTTTTTTTTTAAGATTTTATTTATTTATTTGACAGAGAAAGACACAGCGAGAGCAAGAATACAAGCAGGGGGAGTGGGAGAGGGAGAAGCAGGCTTCCCGCTGAGCAGGGAGCCCGATGTGGGACTCGATCCCAGGCCCCTGGGATCATGACCTGAGCCGAAGGCAGACGCTCAATGACTGAGCCACCCAGGCGCCCATGTCTCAGCTATTTTGTCAAAGAAAATAAGCACACTGACCCTTTCTGTGGTGCTTTCAGTCTGATTTTTAGTTGAGGGTTTGGACTCTATTTTGTTTAGTAAAATGTTTAGGCAAGTGGGCTCTTATTTAGAAAGTAAGAGAAGTCATGAAGAAAGAAAATGGTGAGAGGTCAGTTTTCCCTGGGAATTCTTCTTAGGATGAAGGTGCCAAACAATAATGTGGTAAATGTATCCTAGAGAATAGTTCTCTTAGAAAGGTACTTAGCTAAGGGCCTTGTTTCCTTAATTGATTTTACTGTTCAGGGTTTGAAAACATTGACATTTCTTTGGAATGTTCTGGTCCTCTTCATCTGATTGCACTTGATTTGTGTTTATATCTGCTCCACTAGTCTATTCACATTTAACAAAATAACCCATGCACTGAATTCTCAGGAGAGACCAGAGTGGGAAAATTAAAAAGAAGCAAACAAACTGCCTTATCTTCTTTCTCAGTTCTTCTATCTCTAAGAAGTAAAGAGATTTGCTTGGATCAAGTATACTACTGCTGTGCTTGTCCATCCATGATGTGTCAGTGAAATATTCTGGCATAAGATACCAAGAGAGATTTGTTTTTGTTTTCGTTTTTAAACTGGCTAGCACTATAGTCCTGTAAGAGAGTTTCTTATAGGGGAAACTTCACATATGTTCATATTTCATAACTCTCTGTATCGTTTGATTCTTACCATCTGATGATCTCTATATTACTAATCCTAATAACATGTGTAACATGACTGGTCACGATGTTTTCACTCTTACACACCATATTTCTTATAGCAGCAAGTCTGCTAGGACTTCCTATCCCCCTTCCTAGTGGAAATTCTGATAATGAAGATTGTATTTTGAAAGGAAATTTAAGTTATCTTAAATATCTGCCTTACTCGAATAGCCTCTTCGTCACTTAGCACAGTGATTATTAACTTCAAGTGTTTGAGGTAGCTAATGGGGTAGACAGTATTAAGATCTAGGAGCGAGTTTTTAAAAATGTGTTTTGAACATTGTATTTTTGGACATCAAAACAATGAAATTTAATTACTTAAACTATAGAAAGTGTTGTTAGAAAGGATATACAATAACCAAATAATTGTGTTCTTTTCTGGGGGGTGAAATGGATGGGAGTGGAGGTTAAAGGAGACTCACTTCATCAATAACGAGTATTGGGGGTGAAGAGGGGCAGGGACATTTTGTATTTAAATTTATTTTTATTCACTTAGAATTAATGGCAAGGTTAAAGTTTGAGAGACATCTTGGCCTAAAAGATTCCAACAACAGAGCTTTCTGTTCCTGTCCCTGGCACCAAGGCATTCCCGTGGTCTTACATTGATATTTGTGAATTTGAATCAACAGAGTTTTAATGAGTATCTTCCATATTTAAGACAAAATTTGTTGAGCACTATTGGGTTTATAAAGATGAACAAGACAGTCACAGTGTCGGAGGTCATAGTTTATAGGAAAGACAGTTAATCTGTGATGAAGGGACAAATTCCAATAGAATAAACTGTTCAAGCATTAAAATCCTGCCTAGTAATTCATCTTAGGTTTTTATATTTAACCCATGGCATTTGTAATTTCAAAAGTCTGGTTTTAATCGTTTTCAAGTGACCCTAGTGATAAATGACAAAACAATGCCTAATATGGCTAATAACAATCTCCTTCTCAGATTGTTGTCTCCTCAGATTGTTGTGAAGGGTAAGGTTTCTGAAGTATAGCCCCCGGCATGATTTTGAATCATGTCCCTTGGAAGGATAAAATGTGAAACCAAGTTACTCAGTTGTGAGTAAGCCAGGCGATGGTCCAGCATCTGCACCTCCCCGGTGGTTGGGGATTCATGAATGTAGGGACATACACCTCAGAGAAGTCAGGGTCTGTTATTTATCATGCAAAATCTAAAGTAATTAATGAAAAATGTTGGTCTAGGGAACTCCTGTTGAGGTTCTTATTATAAGAAATGTGGGGAAAATTATTGCTTCACCGTCTAAGGTTTGGTTTGTTTGGGGGGGACAGCAAAATTTTGTTATTTAAATATTTTTGTTGTTAAATTATTCTCCCCTTCCCCTCTTTCACTGATAGGGAACTTGCTCAGTCACTTTCAATGGGCACCAAGAAAAAGGTCTTGGTTCTTGGATCTGGTTATGTATCCGAACCTGTATTGGAATACCTGTCAAGAGATAACAAGATAGAAATAACAGTAGGTAAATAAGCCCTAATTTTTAAAGAAGAAGGAAAACCGATTTCAAAGCATGCTTACTCCGTGAATTTTAGATGACTATCTTGTTTCTAAACTCTGAGAAATTATTTTTGGAGATGTTAAAATGTGTTTTACTCTCTGGCTAGTGAAGGGTAATCTAAAAATTGGACTTTTATATTCTTGAAATAGGCTCTGACATGAAGAACCAAATTGAACAGTTAGGTAAGAAATATAATATTAATCCTGTTAGCATGGACATTAGCCAACAAGAAGAGAAGTTGAGCTCCTTGGTGGCAAAACAGGATCTTGTCATCAGGTTAGTATCTAGGAAGAGATGATTGTCATATATTTTGTTGCTGTTGTTTTGTCTCTTTCCTTATTTTCTCTTTCTCCTAAGTAAATTTTTTTTTTAAAGATTTTATTTATTTGACAGAGAGAGACACAGCGAGAGAGGGAACACAAGCAGGGGGAGTGGGAGAGGGAGAAGCAGGCTTCCCGCCGAGCAGGGAGCCCGATGCGGGGCTCGATCCCAGGACCCTGGGATCATGACCTGAGCCGAAGGCAGATGCTTAATGACTGAGCCACCCAGGTGCCCCCTACGTAAATTTTCAGTTGAAGTGTGCACCCAGAAATGTACCCAAATCATAAGTGTATATAGTTCAGTGAATTTGCACAGTGAACACACTTCATAACCATCATCCACATCCAGAAACAGAATAACAGTACCCCAGAAGCCCGCCATGTGTCCATTTCCATTATTAGCCCTATCCCTCAATGGTAAGCACTGTCCTGGCCTCTCATGTATACATTAATTCTTGCTAGTTTTCAAATTTGTACATTTGGAGCTACTCAGTGTGTCCTCATTTATGGCTGCCTTCTTTCTGCAACACTGTGATTGTGAGAGTTGTTTGTGTTGTTGCCTGTAATTGTAGTTTATTCATTCTCATTGCCATGTAACATTCCATTGTGTGAATATACCCCTATTCTCCATTTGACTGTTGATGGATGTTCAGATTGTTTCTGGAATTGGGCTATTATGAATTGTGTTGCTATGAACATTTTAGTATTTGTCTTTTGGTTGCCATATATACACATTTCTGTTGGGTATCTATCTAGAAGTGGAATTGCTGTGTCAGAAGTATTAATGTTTCATATATTTTGGCAGCTATTTTATCATTTGGACTTAATAAAGCTTGAGTGAAAATGAGTAGATTCTGTAGCCTTTTAACCATTTTTAGTCTTATTGCAGGAACAGATCTTGAACTATAGTGTTTACTACTGATAAAAATGCAGATCTAACTTCTAGGTACAGAGCTACATGAGGGTACTCTATAATTAAACTGGGTTTTAAAATACCAAAGTGATGAGAATAGTCATTTATTCTTAGAATATAATTTTTCCAAGATGGAAGAAAGCTACCTGCTCATCCATAATGAGGTGACTTTCATAGTTAGATCAGATTGAAATGATATCTTTGGAGGAAGTTCTGTGATGTCCTACTTTAAACAACAACAACAACAAAAAGGGTTTAGAAAACATACAGTAGGAAAGGTAATCCTGTGTGGGAACTTATGTGTTATCTCTTGATGTATTTAAATTATAAGCTCACTTTAGGCACTTAAAATGTTATTCTATTTATATAAATTTAATGTGCAGTAATTTTTATTCAGCAAAAATTTACCAGTGACCCATAGACCTTGTTTGTCATTGATATGATTATGATTCATAAGGGAATGTTCTAGCCTCCTGAATAAAACAAAGGGAATTTGTTTCACCACACAGATACCTAAATAAAACATTGTTTTTCTTTTCCATAAAAAAAGAAAACATTATAAGACACATTTAGTTTGAAAAAATTTAACATTAACAAAATCTGTTTTATATTTAGTTTTTCTCAGTTCGTTGAGTTTCCATGCTGAATAGTGGTAATGTTGTTAGACACTGTTATCCTGTAGCATTCTTTAAATTTTTTTATTTTTTAAGTTGGAGAAAGTGTTTTGATGAAAACACAGTAATAGTGACTACCAAAATAAAATGAGGAATATGTTTCACAAAAAAATTTATAAGAATATGTCAAATCCTTATGGTTTTAATTTGGCGATTCTAGTTCTTAATGATTTAATGCAAAGTAGTAATTGAGTTCAGTAAGTTACTTTGAAAATTCCATTTGTATTTTGTGTATGTTTTAACAAGTGACATTTCTAATTATTTGGATTAATTGGGTTGGAGTCAACTCAAATCATTCAAAAGTTTTGTCCCTTTAGTAGGTACTATATTACATATGCAGTGAGTTATGAATGCTAATCCTTTTGTCTAAAATAGGCACCATTAATCAAAGTTCTGGCATTCTAGTTCTTAGCATATTATTTGGTTAGTGCAGATTATGCCGAGTTTTCAGATGTTATTAGATCTTAATAAAATTTTTATTAAGAAAGTTTTTAATGTGGGGAATGTGACAAAAAAAACTCTACCTTTAAGATGATGCCATTGTACATTTTCTGTTAATATTTTTCCAACAAAGAGTTTTGCATGTATTTTTTTCATTGGTTTTTAAGGGCTTACCATATTTGGTAATAATTCTTTTTAATTAAAAAAGTCAAAAAACAGAGCTTGAGAGTTTTCATATTGATACTGGCAAAGTATGAACACAGTTTTATTCCACAGGATAATAAATCTGAGTAGCAATACTTTACTAACCTGAGGAGGCATAAGTATCTCAGAGGTGGTTTTATTTTTTTGTTTTTAGAGAAAATCTGAAATTTGCAGGATGAATTTGACAAATACAGTGATAATAGTGTGATCATGTTTACAAGTTTGTATTTATATTTTCATTGTACTATGTAGCTTGCTTCACCAGATAGTCGGTAAGCTAGTAGAACTTGAATATTGTTAGGCAATTGACATGATGTTTTATTATTCCTTGGATAGAACATGAATATATTCATTTATATTAACAATTACGGAAATTCATTTTTTGTGATTGTGTAGTCCTAGTGCCAAATTAAAACACCAAAGCCAGATTTTTAGAAAACTGAGTTGAAGTTAAGTTTTGAACACAGTTTCATTTTTTTTTGCTTAGCATATAGATTTCTAACCATTTTGAAAGCTTTTGCACCGATCAGTACCATTAAAGCTTATTTCTTCCTTTGGACCTTCTTAGATTCTACTCTGTAATGTAACATCTGGGTCACTTTGACTTAGTTTAACCCAGCCTGATAGCCATTTGGGAAATATGGAAGAAAAAGAAAAAGAACCTTATCTTTTAGTAGAGGAGCCAAGATAGAAAATCATAGAAATATAAGGATGAATGGAATAAATCCCATTAAATGTTGCAAAGAAATAGCTGAATGAATGCAGAAGAAGATCTGGCTTTGGGGGAATCTGGGGGAGCTTCTTAGAGGAGGTGACTTTCCAGACATTTCTTCAAGTAGGGTATGGCCTGGATGGGGGTGAGTGGGTGGACATAATATTCTAGGTAGAAGGTACAGTGAGAGTAAAGTTCCAGAGCTGGAAAAGTACAGGCGGTGAGTGGAGAATTATAGTAACTTCTTTGGTTCCCATATATGGTTTATGAAGAAGATAGAGGGAGAATAATGGAAAGATTAGGTGAAAGTCAAATTGTGGAGGGTTTTAAATGTGATAACAGGATGAATTTATTCTGTAGTTCTCAAAGAGTTATTGGTCACCTTGGAGAGAATAATCAGAGTGATGCCTTAGCTTTAGTGCAGTTCAAGGTATATTCAAAGGTAGGGTTGGGGAAGTTTCTTATTAGTTTCTCTCTCTTTTTAAGCTTGTTGCCTTATGCATTGCATCCTCTTGTGGCGAAGGCATGCATCACAAGCAAAGTTAACATGATCACTGCAAGCTACATCACACCGGCGCTAAAAGAATTAGAAAAAAGGTAAGTTTCAGTCATTTTCAACTGAGTAGCTCCATGGCATTATTTTTATTTTGTATCCAACTTTTTCTTCCTCCCCTTCCCACCTGTTGTAGTGTGGAAGATGCTGGTATCACAGTCATTGGTGAACTGGGATTGGACCCTGGTCTTGATCATATGTTGGCAATGGAAACCATAGATAAGGCCAGGGAAGTGGGAGCCACGGTGAGTCTAATTTATACCCAAAGGTCCATCTAGGAAAATATTAAAAGGTCCAGATTTTGGTGTACAGAAATAATCTTTTTATAATTTTGATTAAGGAAGCTGCTGTATTCTAACTCATGTTGACTAGAAATTTCTAGTAAAATCCTTTAACTGCGGATACATCTGTATGGTAAAACAATGTCCAAGGCTTAATAATAGATTTTTAGAGAAATAGATGCTACTGTAATATTTTGTTTTAATGAAAGATTTTAGACTGCCTTTGGAGATGGTAAGGTTTGACTTTTATTTTTTAATTTTTTTAAAGTAGCCTTAAGAACAATCATTTTTATTTTTTCCCCCACTTGATTTGTTTTTTATTATTTTTAAAATTTAAATTCAATTAACATATAGTGTATTATTCGTTTCAGAGGTAGAGTTCAGTAATTCACAAGTCTTACATAATACCCAGTGTTCATTACAGCACGTGCCCTCCTTAATGTCCATCACCCAGTTACCCCATCTCCCCACACCCCTCCTCTCCAGCAACCCTCAGTTTGTTTCCTATAGTTAAGAGTCTCTTATGGTTTATCTCCCTCTCTGATTTTGTCTTGTTTTATTTTTCCCTCCCTTTCCCTATAATCCCCTGTTTTGTTTCTTAAATTCCCCATATGAGTGAGATCATATGGTAATTGTCTTTCTCTGATTGACTTATTTTGCTTAGCATAATACCCTCTAGTTTCATCCACATCGTTGCAAATGGCAAGATTTCTTTTCTTTTCTTTTCTATGGCTGAGTGGTAATCCATTGTATATATACATGTACTATATCTTCTTTATCCGTAAATGGATAAAAGCTTGACTTTTTTTTTAAGATTTTATTTATTTATTTGACATAGAGTGACACAGCGAGAGAGGGAACACAAGCAGGGGGAGTGGGAGAGGGAGAAGCAGGCTTCCCGCCGAGCAGGGAGCCCGATGCGGGGCTCGATCCCAGGACCCTGGGATCATGACCTGAGCCGAAGGCAGACGCTTAACGACTGAGCCACCCAGGTGCCCCAAAGCTTGACTTTTAAAAGTGGGGAAAATTCTTTAGAATAGTGTCAATCTTTTGGTATATAAAGTATCTTTTGCACATGAGAAGGAACTATTGGATATGAAAATGTGATAGAATCAGATTAAGTGCTTTAGGTTATATATATGTAACAGTTATGGAATCAAATATGGAATCAAATTAATTAGAATTACATTTTATATAAAGATTAATTATATATTCTATGTTAATAGTAATTATTTATACTTATATATTACAAAATATATAATCAAATATATCATTTGAGCACAAAAGTCAGGAGGAACTGACCAAGCAGAATTGAATTAATAGTTGGATTTTTAGCTAGCAAAATATTAGTCACAATCTCCAGTGGATTTTAAAAATATGTGTGTGTGTATATATATATATATATATGTATATATACACACACACACACACACACATAATATAACTGATTTAATCAAATGGCATTTGGCTTTAAGGAAGGCTTAAGCCTTTGTAAGTTTAAGAAAAAGAAAACGTAGCAAGTTTACCTCATTTACCCCATTTCTGTCATTGTCTTTCATCCCTTATTTTACAGATTGAATCTTATATTTCCTACTGTGGTGGGCTTCCAGCCCCTGAACATTCAGACAATCCTTTGAGATACAAATTTAGCTGGAGTCCAGTGGGAGTTTTGATGAACATAATGCAGCCGGCCACCTACCTGCTCAATGGAAAGGTGAAGGATTATCAGCAAAGCTTTAGAGATACAAACCTGCAGTAACTGTCTCAGAAAGTCCACACTCTTCCTCCCTGATACAGAGACCTTTGATATTGGCTGTGCTGTGTGTCCTCCATTCTCTCCTCCACCAATGTTTCCCAGCGGGTATTTTCTGTTCCACTTAGTGTGGTCTACATGCTGTTCCCAGCAAAGCCTGTGCTCATTCTTTCTTCTTCACCTTCTTGCAAGTTGTTTCTGCATTTTGAAAATTTACTTCTCAACTTGTCTGCATATATAAATACAGTCGTCTTGTGATTTGTTTCAGCAGGACAAACATTTACTGGGTCCTAAATATGTGCTGAGTCCCTGCTCAAGGTTGTCACACTGAATGAAGTTCCTGAGCTCGGAGAACTCATAGCTGGAATGGGGGTGGCTCTTGGAATGGAGGGTTTAGTGGGTCAGTGAAAGAAGCTAACTTTCTTTCCCAGCTGCTGTGTGTCAGAATGAATTCAGTGTTATTTTCATCATCTTGCGGTAAGGAAACTGTGGCTCAAAGAGAATGTTCACGATCATTCAGCTGGGATTCAAACCCAGGTGTAACTAATCCCAAAGTGTATTCTCTTCTCTCTTACCAGATTGCCTCATGGGAGGTAAGACAGACACTGGGATAAGTGGCTAAGCTCCGGCAGGAGAAGTTCTAGAGTGTGCTACAGTGCCACAGAACGCAGATGAGAGGGCAGTTGATTTGACCTTGGTGAGGATGGGGAAGAAGAAAGCAGAAAAGAGATGTGCTTGGCCTGGGAGGAGAAGCAGGTGCCAGCTGGGCAGGGATGCTGCCACCTTAACTGCTGAGCACCAACCTCATTGATTCTTGCGACCACCCTAGTAGGTGGCTTAGCGACCTCAGTAGGAGGCGTAGGAAGCATAGCTAACTCAGCCACAGTCCAAGAGACCACACGTGGCACAGCCAGGGCCCACAGCGCACTCGTTTGCCTTCCTAGTTCGTGCCTGTAGCCATAAGGAAAGATTCCTGTAAGGAACACATGTGACGGGACTGAGGGCTCCTCTTGAAATCTTGTGCTCTGGACACCTCACCTCTCCCTAGCCCTGCGGGGAGTGGTGAATGACGTGATCAGCTGCGTGTCTTACAAAGATTATTCAAGGAGCAGTATTAAATTCCAGTGTATCTGAATTTAAACGTATTTTGTGTACAAAGGAGGAAGTTGAAAGACACAAAGTGAACGTTCTTACCAGGTATTGTCTTCTGTGCTTACGATGCGTAGAGTGTACATCATGGCCTTAGGTGCACACTGGAATCATTAGGCAGTTTAGAAAATAGAAAATAATGATGACTGGGCCCATCCCCAGAGATGCTGATTTGCCTGGGTTTGGGGATTTTCAAAAACTCCCCCGAGGGATTCTAATGTGCAGCTGAACTTGGGAAGAGCTGACTTAATGACCAGAGGACTATATGTGGCTGCACTTAAAACACTAGCAAACAAGCAGGACACTTTGATGCTACACATGCATGTGTTTCAGGATATGAACCAGGACCCCTGAGTTCCGGTCCAAGTGCTGGCATCCCTCACCGCACCACCAAAGTCCAGGCAATGGTGAAGGTCCACTGGGCATCAGCCTCCTGATGGTAATGTGGCTACTGATGTCCCACCCAGTTCTCCAGTTCTAAGAATCATGAAGGTTTGGGCCCGAAACAGTCTGACGTTCTGCAAAGCACGTCCTTATATGCCACTGCCTGCCTCCTGTCACGTGTAGCAGCTCCTTCCACCTCCTGCCATCCTGATAAAGAGACTGGCCCATGTTTGGTGTACACTAATCTGTGAATGCAGGGAAAATGTCTTGCTTCCATTGGGCAAATACTTATTTTCAGGAGGCCATATAAATGAAAGGGTGATAACCATGGAAGGGTCAGCAGAGTGCAGCCTGTGTGTGAGAAGGAGCACGGGCTTTGATGTTAGTGGGCCTGGCTTTGTGCTCTAGCTCTGCCATGACCAGCTGGGTGGTACTAGAACTTCTGTGAATCTCTCTGAGCTTTGGGCTCCTGGTCTGAAGATAAACAGAATCACACCAGCCGTGTGGGGTACTTGCAGTGGGGCTCACTGGGGTCAAATAGATGGCAATCTGCCTAACAGCAGGTTCTCAGGCAGGGGGTAAGTCCCCAGCAAAAATGAGCTATGTCAACAAATTGAGGGTGGTGAGTGCTCAGGAAAAGCAAGAGATTATTTTCAGGCAGCAGAAGTTGTATATATTGAATTTGAAGTTTTTCCCTTTCATCCTAAACTCCTTTTGTAAAAACGGAATGCTTTTTGCATCTCCCCGACACTGTGGGGGAGGCTGAGAGAAAACATGATGCTTTTCTTTTCTTTGCTAAAATGATACTTTTTTCAAGGTCCCACTCAAGTTCCCTCTTGTGGATGCAGCTTTTCCTGACCACTCCAGCCCCCATTCACTATTCTTTTGTCCCGACTCCCACACGTTGTGTGTAAGAAGCTTCCGGATGCTGTATTATTCGCTCAGTAATTTAAGTGCATCTGTCTGTCTCCCAGCACAGATTGTTAAACTTCTTAAAGCTTCTCTTGTGTTCTTGCCCCCCCCATCCCCTCCGCCACTATCACCCCCACCACGGAGCAGCCCTTATATAAGTCAGGGAGTCATGATGGAGAGTCAGGTGACCTCTCTGGCTTCTGCTTAAGGTTGAAGCCTTAAACTTTTCCAGCAACTCAGTCAGTGGCCTATGAACTAGGATGTATCTTACTGTCCTGCATCCTTGCAGGAATTTCCGGCCACTGGCACCATTTTTAACTTCTAACTTCTAATAGTGTTTCTAGCAAATATGATTCCCTTCCACATATTTGGAAGACAGCGGCTGTGTCTTCTTTTAGTCCAAGGGCGGTGGGGCATTGGTGGCACTGGGGAGTGACGTGGCAGAGCCCCCACATGGATGCAGCGTGATCCACCACGTGGGTCCACCACGTGGATCATGTTTGCTCTGAAAACAGCTCTGAGATAGGTTTTGTAGCTTTCTTTCCATTGCCTGCCCCTAGCTGGACTGCAGCACCCAGCCCTCCTTTGTAGGAAGAGCCGCTACTCTCCATTGCCCGCAACCATTTTGAATGCAGTTAGCAAGTGCCATGATTGGAATGCCGCACCTTGTCAATCAGTAGCCTTCTCGAAATGCTGATCCACAAATAAGCACAATTAGGGGGACAGTATGGTGTAGTAGAAAGAACATGGACATTGGAGTCTAGACAGATCCAGGTTCAAATCTGCCTCTGGGTGACTCTCAGTTTTGTGTGAACTAAAGGTAATGTGTATAGGGCACCTAGCTCAGAACAAGTCCTATATTTCCTGTATTTAAATGTTTTGTCACTTTAGCAATCAAGCTTATTGTCAGTCAGTAGTTGGGGAAAGACATGTGGGTGTGGGAAGAGCTGGATTTAGAGCAGCCTGTGGCCGTAGTGGGTCATGAACCACTATTTCTGCTCCCCGTGGGTGTTGGGAGTGAGCACCGTCGAGTCAGAAAAAATGCATATTCTCTGCCAAATAAATAAGTATGTCTTTCTTCATCTAAGCCATTAATAAAATATTAAATAGGATAGGGCTTATTCATGAACCCCACAATATAGCCCTAGAAATACAACTCTGTATTGAGGTCAAGTGACAGTGATTACCCTGGAATTTTGGGGACAAGTTGTTTTGGCAGCTGTCAGTCTCTTAAGTGAATCATGACTATTCAGCTGCTATTTCCCTAGTTTCTTCCAAGGATCTGATGATAAACTTTTATGAACCAGCTGATTTCTTTCTGGTTAGTAAAGTGCTGGAATATAAGTAGTCTCTACAGAATTTTTCTTTAAAACAATTTACTCACCTTCAAATAAGTAAAAAACAAACAAACTTTAGAATTGCCATGAGTTCTAGAAGTGAGATGTGTGTGGAGACCCTAAAGGTTAACATTTGCTTTCTTACTAGATTTTTTTTTTTTTTTTAATTTTACTATTCTGATAGAAGAGATTAGTGTGAAAGCCATAGGGCAGAAATGGTCCCTCTGGAAATGTTCACTGTGAGTCCAGGGGAGTTTCCTAAGAAAGTTAAATGAGAAGTCCTCCTAGAGTCCTTCAGCTTCTCACTCCTAGAATTTTAGTGGTGCTTGGTGCTCTGCAAACCTAAGCCTTGAACTGCAGAGATGTCACCAGGCCTGACTCCAGTCAGCAATGCCCATTTCCTTCTGGGCCTTCAGCGACCTACACAGACATGTCCTTTTTCTCTCTCAGACGAAGGCACATGCAGAACCTATCTACAAATAAACTCTAGGGCTCATTAAGTTTAGCAGAAGACTCCTTTGGGTGGTTTTTGCAGCTGCAGACATGTGGTCAGAAGCTGTTTCCAGTGGTGCAGGAGGGACAAACCTAGTTCTACCAGCAGCCCCCATATTCTCAGCCCTGATTTGATCACGCCAGAATGTTTTTCATCATCTCACAAACCTCACACGCCAAAAGAACAATTTAGTCCTTTCATCAAAATCAAAGGGAAAAATATGCTTCGGTGCAATTTGACTGTGATCGGGGAGGGAGCGGGTAGGAGGATTACGGAGAAATAGCAGAGCTTGGGAATTCACTTGACTTCTCACCAGCAATAAGACTAGCACTAGCAGTAAGGGGTAGCACTTCTTTGAGTTTCCCTGTATGTTCACGCATTGTCTTTCTTGTAAGGGGACATCTCTCCCGTTCCCTGTCCCCAGCGTACACCCGTAGGGTGACTAGTCCAGGCTGTGAGCTCCTTGTACTTGCTCCAGCACAGCTCCTGGTACTTGGCTGACATTCAGTAAATGTTCAGTGAATGAAGGAGGGAATGAAGACAGAGACAGCAACTTCTTCATCACTCTCTTTCCCTCCACAATGAGTGTGATCCTGGCACAGACATGGTAGGTGCCCTGTTAACGCTAGCTGTGACGGAAATGCACAAGCCTGGTGCCTGATATGCAACATTCAAAGGCACATGTAAGTGAAGAGTGAAGTGAGGATCTTGCCACTGTTAGCTGAGCTTAGCCATTGAAATGAGGGTCTGTTGCTTTTTGCTTATTGTTTATTTAAAAACAAACCCCTAATGGGGCATAATTCAGGCCATCTAGATTTAAGTCAGATTTTAAAGCTTGGGAGAATCATGGCCTTCTGAATTGTTAGTGGAATCGCTTGAGTATGGGATGCCAGTTATGGTAGTTTCATTAAAATTTTTTTTCTCAAATCCTCTATTGCTTTCTTTTAAAATGTTGATTTCCTTTTTTTCTAAACATTTTATTTATTTATTTGACAGAGAGATATAGTGAGAGCAGGAACACAAGCAGAGGGAGTGGGAGAGGGAGAAGCAGGCTTCCGGCTGAGCAGGGAGCCCAATGCGGGGGCTCTATCCCAGGACCCTGGGATCATGACCTGGGCTGAAGGCAGAGGCTTAATGACTGAGCCATCCAGGCGCCCCGTTGATTTCTTTTTTATGCAAATAATGCAGATAAGTCCACAGGGGAGCACAATGTTGTAACCCCATTGTGTGTTTTCAATGTTCTTCAGGTTGTGAATGTTGCAGGGGGCATCTCCTTTCTTGATGCAGTTACTCCCATGGATTATTTCCCCGGCTTAAATTTGGAAGGCTATCCTAACAGAGACAGTACAAAATATGCTGAGATTTATGGCATTCCATCTGCGCACACTTTGCTGCGGGGGACACTGAGATATAAGGTAAGCAGCTGTATTTGAGATGAAACATACTTCCTGTTTTTTTTTTTTTTTAAGATTTTATTTATTTATTTGAGAGAAAGAATGAGAGAGAGAGAGAGAGCACATGAGAGAGGGGAGGGTCAGAGGGAGAAGCAGACTCCCTGCTGAGCAGGGAGCCCGATGCGGGACTCGATCCCGGGACTCCAGGATCATGACCTGAGCCGAAGGCAGTCGCTCAACCGACTGAGCCACCCAGGCGCCCATACTTCCTGTTTTGATGTAAGTGACGTGTACGCTTAATTTTTCTTAGTAATGAAAATAATTAGGATAATAAACCAGGTTGGAGTCTGTTTTCTCAGCACTGTTTGAGTGAATGTTTTAAGAGACAACTCAAGATGGCCTGAATCATGAGGACTTGGCGGGGGGGTGGGGCAGGTGAAGGGTTGGTCACCTTCAGGTGTAGTGAGTTTTGGGGTCAAGTGACCTCAGGGGCACTTGGTTTCTCTTTGCCTCTCATCTCTTCCTTGGAGTGCTGGCTGCAGTCCCAGGCTGTACATGGTGGCACGGTGGTGACAGCATCCCCAGCCTCTTGGTTCACATCCAGTGAGAATGAAAACGTATAGCTAAAAATATCAGTGGGGTCAGTGGGATAAAATATGCCAATCAGCTTTTGCCTTTTGTTTCATGTCCTGAAAGCTGAAGATACAGTCAGCATCATTTCCCCCAAAGCAAATCTAAAATGTTTTTACCACAAAGTGGGGTGTAGATTCTAGGGGTATAAATGTAAATGTCCACCACACATTTAAGTATTAATCACAAAAGAGTAGTGACAAGAACGACCAGATTAAGACAATCAGTGTAGTAGTTTCCTAGGGCTGTTTTAACAAACTGCTGCAAACCATGTAGCTTACAACAACAGCAATTTATTCTCTCACCATTCTTGAGGTCAGAAGTCTGAAATCAAAGTGTGGGCAGAGTTGTTTTTTTTCTGGAAGTTTGGAGGGAGAAACTGTTCCATGTCTCTCTCCTCTACTTCTTTTTTTTTTTTTTTTTTTTTTAAAGTTTTTATTTATTTATTTGACCGAGAGAGTGAGAGAGTACAAGCACAGGGAACAGTAGAGGGAGAGGGAGAAGCAGGCTTCCCGCTGAGCGGGGAGCCCAATGCGGGGCTCGATCCCAGGACCCTGGGATCATGACCTGAGCCGAAGGCAGACACTTAACCATCTGAGCCACCCAGGCGCCCCTCTCTCCTCTACTTCTGATGACTGCTTGCAGTTCTTGGTGTTCTTTAACTTGGCACACTGGTCCAACCTCTGCCTCTTATCTTCGTATCACCTCCTTCTGTGTGTGTCCCTCTGTCCTCTTTTCTTCTTGTAAGGACACCAGTCATTGGATTTAGGGTCCACCTTAAATATAGATTGGTTTCATATCGAGATCCTTAACTAATTATATCTGCAAATATCCCAGTAAGGTCATAGTCTGAGGTTCTGGGTGGATGTGAGTTATGAGGGAGACACTTCTCAACCCACTCCAAGCGGCATCTCTAACATACCACCTCTCTGAAAATCAGAGATCTGGTTTCAGATCTGGATGCCCCATGAGATTTCCTGGGGAGGGCAGAAAGGGGGTTTGTCATGTGGTGTTAGCCACCATTCACTAATGATCTTTTTCTCTGGAAGATGGAAGACACACAGGCCCATCAGTGATAACCCTTCCATTCTTTTTTTTTTTTTTTTTTTTATTTTATTTATTTATTTGAGAGAGAGAGAGAGAGAGAGAGAGAGAATGAGAGATAGAGAGCACAAGAGGGAAGAGGGTCAGAGGGAGAAGCAGACTCCCCACTGAGCGGGGAGCCCGATGCGGGACTCGATCCCGGGACTCCAGGATCATGACCTGAGCCGAAGGCAGTCGCTTAACCAACTGAGCCACCCAGGCGCCCTAACCCTTCCATTCTTGTGCATGCTTTCCACTTGCTCTTTTTTCTTCACTAGCTGCTGCTTTTGCCCGGAACTTTTTCTCTCAGATATCTTCACACTCTCATTTGGCTCCTTCAGGACTTGGCTCTCATGAGGCTTTCCATACCATGTTATTTAAGATCACGGGTCCCTCATCCAGAACTTTTCCTGTCCCCCTTCCTTACATGGGGTGGGCCTCAGGAGTCAGTGAACACTGGTGGTGTTATTCCTGTGTGCACAAAATTCACGTAAGAGCAGAGGTTATTTCCACAGTGTTGGCACATGAAGTCTGGCTTCTGGTTTGCTTTGCTTCTCCACGTCAACTCCTCTTTATTTGTTTGTTAGACTTATTTGTATTTATTTTAGAGAGAGAGAGAGAGAGAGAACGAGAGCAGGGAGAGAGAATCCTCAAGCAGACTCCCTGCCAAACATGGAGCCCCACCCTGAGATCATGACCTGAGCCAAAATCAAGAGTCAGCTGCTTAATGGACTGAGCCACCCAAGCACCCCAACTTCTGCTTATTCTTTTTTTTTATTATGTTATGTTAATCACCATACATTACTCCTGTTTATTCTTAAAGAGAGAAAGCCACTATAGTTCTTACTCTTTAAAGCTTTTATTACATTTATTGGCACTGAGCAGTGCTTTTAGTTAGGTTTCTATGTATATTTTTGTTGTCTCCTGAAAATGATTGTAAGCTCCTAGAGGGCAGGTACCTGTACTCCTGGTGAATGTGATGTCCTCATGATCTAGGAATCAAACAAGATGTCAGTGAAGACAACCAAAGGCGATCTAGGAACCATGGATGTTCCATAAGCCTCTAGGCACAGCAGAAACTCTAGTCTGAACTGAAGCCTTAACATCCTCAGTGCTGGCAGATTTCTTGATTCTGTTTTCTTCATTTTGTTCTAAGAATATAGTAGTTGCATTTTTGAAGGGGTTCAGGAATTAGGGTTTTCTTTTGTCTTTTGTTTTTGTTTTTAAGTAGGCCCTGTGCCCAATGTGGAGCCCAACATGGAGCTTGAACTCAAAACCCTGAGATCCAAGATCTGAGCTGAGATCAAGAGTTGGATGCTCAACCAACTGAGCCACCCAGGTGCCCCAGGAATTAGGATTTTCTGATAGTTTTAGATATAGTCTCTTGCCAAACATGTAGACCCAGGAATAGAACATTTTAAGAGCTTTAAGAATTGGGGCACCTGGGCGGCTCAGTCGTTAAGCATCTGCCTTCGGCTCAGGTCATGATCCCAGGGTCCTGGGATCGAGCCCCACATCGGGCTCCCTGCTCAGTGGGAAGCCTGCTTCTCCCTCTCCCACTCCCCCTGCTTGTGTTCCCTCTCCCACTGTGTCTCTCTCTGTCAAATAAATAAATAAAATCTTTTTTTTTTTTTAAAGAGCTTTAAGAATTAAATAAAGCTCTCAAGGATGTGTATGGATGACAGCCATTCCCACAGAACCCCAGAAGGTGGAAGATGTTGCAGTGTTCATATCCATGAGGGCCACCATTCTGGGCAATGCCTTCAGTTACCCTTCAGTAACCCAAATATTCTTTCCAGTATTAAAGATGAGACACTATCATTTGAGCATGACAGAGAGGCCTTGGTTACTCTCCTGTGCCTGCCTATCACCTGCGTGTCCTTGCAGACCCAGCTTGCTGTCACCTTGCCATGGGATCTTTTCCAACTCCTCCTTGACTCCCCTCCCCCACATTCGTGTGATTTCAGAAGAAGCCCTCTGATTCCTACCTCTCTTCCTGCTCCCTATGTGCATTAGGATAGTGGCTCCAAATCAGCAGAATGGATTATCTCTTTTGTGGGGTATAAGAGAGGGAACTGTTCTGCTAAATACTATTCTGCTGAGCTGGAAGTGTATAACACATGAGGACATTTGCCCTTCTGCTGCCAGAAATACCCCTCCCATGTTACTCAGAAACAGAAGTAAAGACCCAAGTCCTTGAAGGTCTTTTAGGTAAGCCAGCAGAATTGCTGTGACACTCTTGATTCCAGTCTGAACCTGAAGGTGTTTGCATCCATACAGGCAAGTCAGATGACTACTTTCAAGCCTGTCTTCTACATGAATGACAAAGACAGATCCCTCTTTTCAAAAAAGCCTTTTAAGTTTTTTCTTTGAAGGGAAAAAATTCACATCCTACTTAATAATTCTTTTACAGGGGTATGCCAAAGCTTTGAATGGATTTGTAAAACTGGGTCTTATAAACAGAGATGCATTCCCTGCCCTTCAACCTGAGGCCAAACCTCTCACCTGGGTGAGTGACTCCAGAATTACATGTTGTTTGCTGTTCTTCAGAAATGGTCAGGTTTGAACTTTGGTTTGGACCAGCAAGGTACCTATCTGTGGCTTAGATAAACCCTAACCCTCCAGACCCCTTATTTTTCCTTGTTGTGGAAGGATGGAGAGATCATGGGCCTGACCCACTGGGCTTATTTCCTGTAGCAGCCTGTACTATTTATTTGCTCCCTCAGCCCTGAGAAGAGATGGATTTGGGCTCTGGGCTCTACCACTTGTCTAAGTGGTGACCCAGTGACAGTAGATAAATTTGGGCCTCCTGCAATTGATAACCCAGGAGAGCTATTGGTGGTATCACAGAACTGGACTCGCTACCCCCAAATCCCATCAGTTCTCTCTTTTGGTCATTTTTAACCATGAGTAATTTGAGTTTTCAGTTACTGAATTTATGCCCATATTTGTGTTGGATTAAAATCTTAAGAGTCTCCAGGTTGGAAGGGACTTTGAAGGCTTAGAATTGAATGTAAAGCAGAGCTTCCCCTAACTACCAGCTGTTACTTGTTGGTCATCCGACATGAACCAGTGTGCCCATATTCCAGTAGAAGTGCCAGCAATTTCTCACAAGGAGAAAAAGATCAATATTGCCCACTTTGGTATTCTTGCTAGCTATTGCTTTGGATTCCATTTTCCATGTATCTGAGAGCCTTCCAAATCTGTTTTACCTTTCATAAATGTACATGTTAGACAGGAGTGAATAAATATCTATCGAGTGAATTCTGAGGTTGACGCAGCTAGATTGGGAGGGTTGGTACAGGTATTTTTAGGGGTAGTCTCAGTATTTTGGTAGCTACAGTTTAGAATAGGGGCTGGCAAACTTTTTTTTTGATAAAGGACCAGATTGTAAATATATTAGGACTTATGGGCCATACGTACTCAATTCTGCCATAGACAAATACGTAAACAAGCATGGATATCTTCTAATAAAAATTTTCTTTACAAAACCAGGCATTGAGCCAAATTTGGCCTGTGAACCAGTTTGTTTTTCCTTAATTGAGAGCTTAAGTTTTTCCCTTGAAATCCTGGAAAAGAGTCTTATTTAAGAAAGTACAAAAAGCTATGACCATTGCTTAAGTGTTACTGCTTTGAGATTTTATTATCTGTAAGGTCTTTCTCATCTCTTGAACCTACAAAAGAACTCTGGTTGCTACTGGCAACCGTAGCAATGAGCCCCTTCCACTTGATCCTGGCCAAAATGGGTTACTGGAGGGTGAGGGAGATTGGGTGAAAAAGTAATGGAGAGGATGTGATGGTAAATATGATGCCATCCATTTAGTGTTGATTTTGTGTTATGACCCATTTTTATTGCTGAAATATTGTTTTGGAATATAATTTATTGATGGGTGAGTGTGTAGACATGTTTGGATATATGTATAAGCATTACCATTTACTATTTCTAGTTATTTCTAATTTAAAATTTGAGGTTCATTTGTGATCAAATGTCTTAATAGGATCATTTCTCAACTGATTATTTATTAGGAACTTAGAATTTTATCTTTATTTTTATGACCAGAAAGAGCTCCTTTGTGATCTGGTTGGGATTTCACCCTCCTCCAAGCATGATGTGCTCCAGGAAGCGGTCTTTCAGAAACTAGGAAGAGACAGTACCCAGCTGGAGGCTGCTGAATGGTAAGCACCCACAGTCAACTTAGCAAAATACTGGATTCCTTTAATATCAATAAAAATATCAATGATTTTTTTAGTCCTTTCTGGTCAAAAAGGGGTCAAGATAGAACCAGGCATTTTACATTGTCTTTGATTAATTTACTGTTCTAATGTTGGCCTATTGTGGAGAGATTGCCAAGTACTGTGTTCATGTGTGGATAAGAAAGTAGATAAAGAGAGAAATTTAATGGCAGTTATAACTTGGGAAATACTTGAGACACTTCAACTACTCAGTTTCCAAGCAAGGTGGGATATTTTTTTCTCTCCTGGAGGAGAGTCTCCTAGTCTTTTGCAACTACTTGAAAATGTTCATTCACACAGCTGTGGCACATTATGCTGGTCTCCCTAATGTGGGAGAACTAACCTGTAAATTAATCTCATGTGAAGCTTTGCAACAGCGGGGACTTACAATGTGTCAGTTCAGCTCCAGGGAGCATTGCCTTGGGGAGTCTGATGATTCTAAAGATTAAAACATTACTATTTTATTGTTATTTACACTGTAGGAGAGTCCTGTAACTTGGACTGTCATCTTGTGATTCTTCCCTTTATCAAGATAAAATCCAAAGAGCTCCCTTCTTCCCAAGTGAGATTCTGTGTAAGGCTTGACATAACACAGCCACCTCTTGTGCTTCTCAGGTTGGGCTTACTTGGAGATGAACAAGTCCCTCAAGCAGAGTCTGTGGTGGATGCACTCTCCAAGCATTTGGCCAGGAAACTCGCCTATGGTAGGCCATCGGGTGTTAGCTACACGTCCCAGAAGCAGCACCCTGAGATGCAGTCAGCACAACTAGTGAATATGAGGGGAGGGCTGAAACCAAGCAGTAGGGATGGGGAGGTATGCTAGGAGGGAAAGAGCACTTGGGCTATTTTTTCAGAGGGAAGAATAAGAGAACTATCAAATAGGAATGAACTTGGGGAATATAGGAAAGGAACAAATTATTAGTTTTACTTTTAATGCATTAGGGAAATGCTGAAGGAGGATTTTTGGGGGCAGAGTGGGTGCCTTCAGGTCTGTAGCCAGGTGACAGTGATACCAACCTGGACAAAGGAACGTGGCCAGAGTTATCACTTCTTGAGTTTTTTCTCTTGGCCTTTGGGCTAAAGAGCAGTATAGGTAATTGTCTAGAGACCACATATGATGGGAGGAGAAACTTGTGAGAGCAAAAGGGTAGGAGCAGATGAATTGCAATATTGGAGTTGTGATGATAATGACATTGAAGAATGTCTGTTTATTTATCTTAAGGCCCTGGAGAGAAAGATATGATTGTGATGAGAGACAGTTTTGGAATCAGACATCCTTCTGGACATTTGGAAAATAAAACTATTGATCTTGTGGTTTATGGAGACATCAATGGCTTTTCAGCCATGGCTAAAACTGTGGGGTTACCCACTGCTATGGCAGCCAAGATGTTGCTTGATGGTAAGTTCTTTCGTTGGAGATCTGAATCTGTCACCATGTCATCTCCAAATCATTTAGTACCTGGATGTCAAATAATTACTTTTGAATATGACACTGGTGTTCACTAAAAGTGAGCTGTCTCAGAAGTTCTAAATACTGACTGGGAGATCACCTTATGGTGAGTAAAAGCCATGAGTTTTAGACTTAACACATTGCTGGCCCAGTTCAATCACAGGAAGGCAGAGTGATGGGGTGCAAGTTACTCAGCATATCTGAGCTAGAGCTCCCTTATCATAAAGTGGGGATTGTTATCCTCATTCATAGTTTCGTGTTTTTTTTTAAATTTTTTTTGTGATGCTGAAATGAAATAGTACATGAAGTTCCTAAGTTCCTACCACATACATCACCCCCCAGGCAATGTTAACTCTTCCTTTCTTCCCTTTATTTTTCATATTTTAGGAGTGTTAACACTGAAAGAGCAGAGGGTATTCACTTCCAGATCCCCAAAAATACAGACCGTGTTTTTTAATCATCATTTCTCAGTATATTGTGAAATATTTTGAACTCAATAATATTTTGAACTAAGTGAGTGCAAATTTCAACTCTTCTCTCTCCCGTTAAGATCACCTATACATTCAGTAAGCATTACCTCTGAGTATAATCCTTCATTTGGCCCTTGTGAGTGTGCAAAGGGAGTAACAAGCATCAAGCATCTAAATGTGAAATACTGAAACAGTGTATCTACAGTAGCATATCAGCTAATATCAAATTAAACGACCTACGTAGTTACCAAGGCACCAGAGGGAAGAGGTGATGAGGGGTGAGGTCATCACGGGCTTTAAGGAAAGAACTCAGACTTGCTGTTTCAAGTCATCCTAACACAATTATTATTGTGCCCAAATAATCAGATTGGTTTTAATTCATTCTCTTGGTGTTAGGCTTTTTTAAAAAAAAGCATCAGCAAACAAAGCAGACAAGTTAGGTTTACTTTACTTTCTTACTACACTTTATTCTCTGATCATTTTGGCAATAGTTAATGCAGTTAAATGTGTAAATTCTGATACTATCCCTAAGTCCAGCTCTGCTTTCGATCTGCAGTTAACACCTTTCCCTATTTATGGTATGGTGACTCTTGCTGTGGAAATTAACCTTAATAATAACTTTAAAATGGTAACTACAAATTTATTTTCTTCTAGGTGAAATTAAAGGTAAAGGCCTGATGGGTCCCTTTTCAAAGGACATCTATGGACCAATATTGGAGCGAATTAAAGCAGAAGGCATTATATATACAACGCAGAGCATAATCAAACCATAATTGAGAATTATATCTTGTTTTTATCTTCCTAGCACCGTAGCTCTGAACATTTGTGCAACGAACCTGCTTGCTAATGTGCTGCTTTGAAATATAAAGCATGATAATGTTTGAGTCAGTCAATACAATGATGTTTTTAAAATATAAATCTCTATTTTAATATGAAAACATTTGGAGCAGGAGATGCCAGTAATTACCAGAGAACTTCAATAATTCTACATTTTTTTCATGTGTATGCAAAAGTGATGATTGTGCTATATGTTAATTTATTGTGCAACTTTTTTCTTATGAGAGTATATTTTCCTATGATCAGCAGATAAACTTATCTTTTTAGTAAGAAAAAAATTTTTCACACAGCTATATTTTTGTATTTTTCAGATTGATTCACTTAGATACTCTTAGATTACCTATCTATAAACCTTTGCAATAATTATATTTTATGGCTTTTTTGGTAAAATTATGAAAAGGAAGTAGGTAAGAGTAAATCAAAATCCACATGATCACCTCATTAGGGACAGAAAAAGCATTTAACAAAATTTAACACCCTGTCATAATAAAAAGATTCAACAAACTAGGAATTGAAGGGAGCTTTCTCAACCTGTTAAAGAACATCTATGAAAAACCCATAGCTAACATCATACTTAATGATGAAAGACTGAAAGATTTCCCCTTGAAATCAGAAACAAGAAAATGATGCTTTTGGCATTTATACTCAACTTGTACTGGATCTATCTAGGGCAGTTAGGCAAGAAAATGAAATAAATAACACATCCAGATTTGGAAGGAAGAAGTAAAACTATATTTGCAGATGGTATGATCTCATACATAGAAAATCCAAAAGAATACTTTAAAAAACATTAGAGCTAATACATGAGTTCAGCAAAGTTGCAGGACACAGGTAATAATACAAAATTGATTGTATGTCTATACAATATCAATAAATGAAACAAAAATGATACTGAAAAAAACCAATTCAATTTACAATAGCATGAAAAAGAATAAAATAGGAATAGAGTGTGAGTCCAGAAATAATCCTCATATTTATGGTCAATTGATTTTTGAAAAGGGTGCTAAGACAATTCAGTAGAGGAAAATAATATTTCATCAAATGGTGCTGAAACAACTGGATATCCACATGCAAAAGAATGAAGTTGGACCCCATGCTCACAGCATATATAAAAATGAACTCAAAATGGACCAAAGACCTAAATATAAGAGCAAACACTATAGAACTTGTAGAAGAAATCATAGATGTAAATCTTCATGCCCTTGGATTAGGCAGTGGTTTCTTAAATAATTGAAACCAAAAAGCACAGGCAAAAAGAAAAAAATAGATAAATTGGGCATCATCTTCAGAATTAAAAACTTTTGTGCTTCCAAGGATAGGGTCAAGAAAGCAAAAAGATGACCCACAGAATGAGAGAAAATTTTTGCAAATCATATCAGGTAAGGGAGGAAACTACATTTAGAATATACAAAGGACTACTATAGCTCAGTAAGTAGACAAAGAGCCCAATTTAAAAAATGGACTAAGGATGTGACTTGGCAGTTCTCCAAAGAAGATATACAAAACCAATAAGCACATGAAAAGATGTTCAACACCATTAGCTACCAGGGAAATGCAAATCAAACCTATAATGAGATACCACTTCATACAGGATGGTTATAATGAAAAAGATAATAACAAGTGTTTGTGGGGATGTGGAGAGATTGGAAGCCTTGTAAAGTGCTGGTGGAAGTGTAAAATTATGCAGCCACTTGGGAAAACAGTTTGGAAGTTCCTCAGAAGGTTCATCATAGAGTTGCCATATGAGCCGGCAACTCCACACAAATTAAAACATATGTCCACACAAAGACTTGTAAGCAAATGTTTATGGCAGCATTATTCACAATAGCAAATATCAAAACAAGCCAAATGTTCATCAACAAATAAATGAATAAACAAAATGTGGCATATCCATTACAATGGAATATGATTTGGCAATAAAAGAGAAATGAAGTTTTGATACATGCTACCACATGGATGAACCTTGAAAAGATTATGCTAAGTGAAAGAAGCCAGACACAAAAGTCCACATTATGGTATGATCTCATTTGTATGAAATTGTCCAGAGTAGTCAAATCTATATAGAGAAAATAGCTTAGTGGCTGCCTAAGGCTGGGGGTTTGGGGGAGAGTGGGAGTGACTCCTAATGAGTTTGGGTTTCTTTTTAGGGTGATGAAAATGTTGTAGAGTCGATTGAGGTAATGGTGTCACAACTTTGTGAATAGACTAAAAATCACTAAACTGTATACTTTGTGTGAATTACATAGGATACGAATTACATCTCAAGTTGCTATAAAATTAGATTATAATTTTTTTTTTCCTTGGGGGAAAATATAAACTAAATATTCTTTTTTTGAAATACAGAGTAAACCCTTGTTTGACATTCTAGGACTATACACATATCCTGGTATGGAACGGATTCTGCCCATGAAATAAGCAGCTATTGTGTGTGGGGTATATGGAAGTTGAGAAAACATCTATGCTATTTGAAAAGGGTCAAAGTTGATTAAGGTCTAGTCCTACCTGTCAAAAATAATATGTGGAGATCAATATTAATAAGTAAAGACATTTGTGTTATGGCACTTTTCTTTTTTTTAACCACAACATTGAGTTCAACAAAGTCAATCAGGAATTATGAGTGTCACATTGATTCTACCTCCAATCTGGAATGATGCCCAGATACAGTGGGAACCAGGGAAGCAGCACCTTAGCTGGGTGAGGGAAAAGTTTAAATATCTCTAAGCTAAGATCTCATTAGCTTTAACATAAATGTCAGGCAAAATGTTACTGCAAAAGAGGGAAGCCCAAATGAGTTTAACTGGTTTGGGCTTCATAATACCAATGAATGATAAAGGAGATATGATTGAAGAGCTATCTATTGTCAGTGCTAGAAAAGAATTGTCAGTAGGCTTGAGTAAAGGTGGATGTAATCACACACTGCATTGTCTCAAGCTTTCCAGCAGAAATGAAGGTGATGGTAAGATACGAATGGGAGCTCATAATTACAAGCATATGGCTTGCTTGGGTCAGCAGACTTTTTACTATAAAGGGCTAGATACTACATATTTTAGACTTTGTAGGCCAAAGGGGGCCATAATTGTTCATTTCTGCCTTTGTAGTGTGAAATCAACCGTAGACAGTACATAAATGAGTGGACATGACTGTGTTCCAATAAAACTTCATTTACAGAAAAACAAGTGATGGGCAGACTTGGCCCTTGAGCCATAGTTTGTTAACCTCTGGTCCTACCATTATAGTAGACTGCTCACATCTTCGGGATCTGTTTTGGCCTCTTTTATATAAAATCCATATTTATGTTGTCCAGTTTTCCTTGTTCTAGACAAAATAGATACTAGAAGCTTCTAAAGAGCAGTTTGGTTGGTTCAACAATATATGAGCTATTTCCTTCTCCATAAAGTAAATATAGTAATAACTTGCAGGATGGTTACAAAGATGAATGAGCAAATGTAAGGGAAAGTCTGGCACCTCGTAGATGTTCAAAGCTAGTATTCCCTCTTTTGCAATAATATTTTGCCTGACATGTTTAAGTTAATGAGATCTTAGCTTAGAGATGTTTTTTCAGTCATTTGGGTATCTTTGGAAGAATCCTCAAAGATCCATGCTGCTCAAACAAGCTATAGATATTTCTGCTCCATAATGAGAATCTTAAAACAATAGAACGGAAAGGAACAGAATAATCACCTGGTTGGGCCATTGATTTTACAGAAGAGAAAATGTGTCTCACAAAGTTAAAAGATTTGCCTAAGGTGACAAGACTTAATATTGAAATTTGATTATTTGAGGTCATTCAAAATACTTGATAAAATTTGGGAAGCACTTTGATTTATAAAACCTCTTTTATGGTGGGTTATTAGGACCACCACTGGCCCATATGGTGCCTTTTTGAGAATTAAAGACACTGCTTCAAGACACTTCTGTCAAAAACTTATTGTCAAACATGTAATTTATCACAATACTTTACTACCCTCGTAAATATTAATCATTTAAGCACATGTCATAATAATTCGATGCCTATGGTGTGATTAGCTCCCCTGTAGATGCAGTGCACAACTCTCACAGCCATGCAAGTAACCACTATTATCCTTATATGCTGTATAGATCACCTTTCTTTACAAGGCTTTACATTTGTTGATTGTCTGCAGTGAAACTACATTTACCAGACTTGAATTCCACTGGAAATGATCCAGTGAGAAAAGCTTCCTGTTTTAGGGCAATACTTTAGTCACTGACAGCTAATCTATTAAGCTTCCTTTTTCCAATTTTGTTATAGTCCTAACACTCATTTTTAATTTTTATTGATCAGCAAGAATTATGAAACAGTGTTGAGTCCTAACTTTGAAGGTTAACAGGTCCTGACCCTCTACTTTAAGTTACTGGTTTAGTAGAATAGAAGGTTTCTGGTGTCTTCCAGTGTTCTGCTGATTGATAAATACAGTACATCACCGCATAAACCCTGAGAATCCCACTGCCAGCCTCAGAGCCTGATGAAACTTCATTGCTTTTGCTCCCCTTTTTGTTCAATTAAAGATGATTCTGGGCTGTTGCCAGGCACAACTAAAGCAGCAGCCCAGCACTTGGCTTCAATTCATTTTGAAGTTCATTTCTTCCAAACCAGGTTCTTGGTGAAGCTGGCACAGGGTGAAGCAAGCCCCCATAGTTGATCAGAACGCCATAACTCCAATAAAGAAAAACCATGCTTGTCTTATTAGCCAGCTGTTGATAAAAAGAAAAGTTTTTTCTTTCTTCTTAAGTTGAAGGAAATACGTAAAAGGAGGTAGAAATTAAAAGGGAACTGGTAGAGGAAAGAAACTGGAATAGACTAAAACAGAGAAGACCAGGAAAAAAGATGAGGGGTGTGGATTATTAAAATACTGTAATAATGTTTTAAAAAAATTTAAAAACTGGCTGGCACAAGGTGGTTCTGTTTAGTTTCTGGTCTATGAGATTTGAAATTTAATATTGGCTGAATTATGCAACCATTATGCAAATAGTTCAGTATGTAAGATGCTTAATGAAGATAGTGGTCCTTTTCAGGGTCCTACTCATCTGCCTTTATGGTAAAGGAAGACATTTCTTCAGAGTTCTTTCCCAGCCTCTTATTTTCTTTCTATATGTTCTCTCTGGGTGGGTGCATCCCACCCTTTGGCTTTGAATATCACCTATATCTCTAAGGAATCCCTAACTTTCTCATTAGAGCTTCTGAGTATGTATATAACTACCTACTAATATCTCTGTTGGGATATCTCCCCAACTTCTTAAACTCAATGTTAATTTGAGAGTTTGTAGTATAAACCAG